TAACATTGCTTATTGCTAGCTCTGATGATGACCTGAATTGTAAGTTGAATGGCAGATGAAGGTAATTTATGTAGTTCTGTCCAGAATTTTTCTGTAGTGGGAAAGGGGCACCAGAGACCCTGCTCTCATGTCTCTGTGCATTATAATGCTGTACACTAAATCCACAAGTAGGAATTAGTGGATTTCATGGGTTTTTAGGATCAGTTCTGGAAATTCTTCTTTGGCCTCTGTATCTTTCTTGCAAAAAAAAAGAAAGTCCACATGAATTCACTTAGTATAATTTTTCAAGGATGACTGATAAATATTCCTCATCTCTTTATGTTCTGTTTTATCTGTAGTATATAAAAACTTTGTATAAAATATGTGTTTGAATATGTAGTAGCACTTGAATAGCTCATTTCTAAACATTTTTAGAGAAGTAAAATTGAATGTAAGACCTTTTGTCCAGCTCCTTCACCCCCCACCCCACAGCTCTGCCCACATCACAAAGTATGTTTTCATGTACATTTTTGAATATTGGCTTCTAATTTGACCTCAAACACTGCTCATTATTGCCTGTGGTTTATGGTTTGATATTTTTAAAGGAGGGGTAATTGGAAATAGTAACTGCCTGTAGCTTCCCCTCAAAACAGAAAAGAATTGCTCTTTATAACTTCAGTACCGCTCGATTTTCCCTACAATTAAGAAATTGTAGCTGTAATTAGTAATTTTTGTAGAAAACAACATTTATAATGAGAAGATTTGACATTTGAATGGTCTTTAAAATAGTCATAGTGAAATGACTAATGCAAGTAAATGCCAGAATTACTTTCTTCTAACATTTCAAGGAAAAAAACTGCTTATTTTTGTAAATTATATTGTAGCAAATTGTCATTTGCTTTAGGAGCATTGATGCATCAAAGTTACATTAGGAATATATTTTCATATCCTACTGTGCTTTTAAACATCAATATACCAGTTACTGTCAATTGATATTTTAATGTTTAGCATTCAAATGTGTAGTGCTTGCGAAGAAAAAGAGAATAGCTGTAACACTGTTCTTCAGCTTACATTTGAAAATGCTTGTCTTGCCCTTGTACAGCCTGGAGGCAGCCTGTTGGAGGCTCTCTTGGAATTATTCTCCAGCTGTATTGAAAAGCATCCACTAAATGTCCCCAATATCTTTGGCTATTTCTGTAGCCCTTCTGAACATTTTTATTAGTTTAGTGGAATTGGGCTTCCGTGTTTGATAGAGAGAGCAATGTAAATAGCACTGGGCTGTATTTTCATTGTTGTGCAGGTACAAATCTTTATTTTTCTAACCCCCATTCTCCTAGGTATTATGGAAGAAGGAAGCAGCATTGCAGTATTGATGCCAAATATTGGGGAGCAGGAGGCTGTGCTGATTTCTGAAACAGTCATTGGCCCAACACTGCAGAGCAGCGAAGAGCAGAGAAAATGTAAAACTGACCCCCTGATCCACGTCATCCAGAAGCTGAGCAAAATAGTTGAAAGTGAGAAGTCACAAAGGTGCCTTTTAATAGGGAAGAAACGTTCCCATGCCGACGCTTCTGCGCAGTCCTTGGACGCAGCCGAGCTCTGTGAAATCCCAGCTAAAGCCATCGAGCTCTCGGTGATTGCTACTAAAAAGACTGAAGAGTTGCAAGCAGATTATTTTGTGACTGAATGTCTTCCACCAAGCAAAAAAAAGGTGACGTGCTATCAATGTGGTCTCTGTAATTTTCTATCGCCTTCGCTCTTAACTCTACAAGAACATATAAAACAACATGGGCAGAAAAATGAAGTGATATTAATGTGCTCAGAATGTCATTTTGCCTCCAAAAGCCAAGAAGAACTTGAATCCCACTTCCAACATCACCACGAGAATGGTGGTAAAAACAGCATCCAGAAAAAAGTGCAGCAGTGTGTCAACGTCACAAGTTCATTTCTGCAAGGGCCGGTGGAAGGAAGTGTCAAATCAGGGACTGATCAGACAGGAAATGTGGAATGTAAGGATGCAGCTCAGTCTGCTCCTGTGCCTGAAATGGGTAGGAGGAAATGGTACACCTACGAGCAGTATGGCATGTACAGGTGTTTGATTTGCAGGTACACCTGTGGTCAGCAGAGGATGTTGAAAACACATGCCTGGAAACACGCGGGGGAGGTTGATTGCTCCTACCCCATCTTTGAGGAAGAAAATGAAAACACCAGCTTGTCAGAGACAGTTGTAACTCACACACCTCAGAGTGTGGATACAGTTGTCCTCTCTTTGGAAAACAGTGAACTTGATATCCATAGTGAGCCTTCTCTTCAGCTTCAGATTTGCAATTCTGAGCAGCTGTCGTGTAAATCGCCCATAGGAACAAATGTAAAAGAGGAAGAGATATTGAGTGAGTCCGTGGTGCATTCTCCTACTACAGAGGTTGTAGAGGAGACTGTGTCAGATACAGAACCAGACAACATGATAACTGACAGCCTGCTTTCATCAGCACAGAAAATTATCAGTTGTAGTCCAAATAAAAAGGGTCACGTTAATGTCATAGTAGAGCGTTTGCCGGGTGCTGAAGAAAGTGTTTTACAAAAGCCATTCTTAATGAACACTGACATTGAAACAGAAAAAAAATTGATCTCAGAGGAGTCCTCTGTTACCTGTGAAGAACCTGCTGAAGTTTATCATTCAGATGCAATTCAGGAAGTAATAATAGAATGGAATAACACCGAGAAGAAAGATAACGAATTAAGCACTAATAAAAATGTAACAGCTGATGAAAACGTGCCTCCTGCACGAAGGAGGACAAACTCAGAGTCTTTGCGACTGCACTCCTTGGCAGCAGAAGCTCTTGTTACAATGCCAATTCGAGCTGCAGAGTTGACCCGGTCCAGCCTCAGGGCTCTGACTGGAGAAGATGCTGTGGATGCAGGTGCAGGACAGGGAGGAGCCGATGGCCCGTGCATGGCTCACTCTAAAGTGGTGTCCTCACTTAAGGATCCTTCAGAGGAGTTCGGTGGCTTAAACCAAAGTGAATGTGCAATAGTTGAGATAAAGAAAGACAGACCGGAGCTATCAGAAGCGCCAATTAAAATGGGCATCAGCATGTCACTGCTCACCGTCATTGAAAAGCTGAAGGAGAGGACGGACCAGAACGCCTCTGACGATGACATCCTGAAGGAGCTGCAGGACAACGCGCAGTGCCAGGGCGGCGGCGAGGCGGCCGTGGCGGGCAGCAGCCTGGTGGAGTTCATCCCCAGCGCCGAGCGGCCGTACCGCTGCCGCCTGTGCCACTACAGCAGCGGCAACAAGGGCTACATCAAGCAGCACCTGCGCGTGCACCGCCAGCGCCAGCCCTACCAGTGCCCCATCTGCGAGCACATCGCCGGCGACAGCAAGGGCCTCGAGGGCCACATGATCAACCACTGCAAAGCTCGCATGTACCAGTGCAAGCAGTGCGAGGAGTCCTTCCACTACAAGGTAAAGCTCATGCCTCTCTGTGTGGCCATATTATCGCAAAAGTTCCATCCTGTTGTCTCCTTATCACAAAGGTTTCATACCTTCTTGGTGTTTTCCCACGGGCAGCTCCTCAGAGCACTGACTCCTTTCTTCTTCACAAAGTAGCCAATTCACTCCAGCTCCCTTCTCAACCAGCCAAGCCACTCTTTTACAGCACTCTTCTTCTTACTGGTTACAGCTGTGGCCTGTTCAAGTCAGGTCTGTTCCTAATCTTTGGTAATTGGCCCAGCTGCAACGCCTTAGGGGTGAAATTACTCTCCGCACTATCTTTATTTTCTTATATTCTATCCCCCCACATCTCTAGAATCCCTAAATAACCTATTTCACTGCGCTTTTAATCGCTGGTGATCCCTCTTTCTAGCTTATTTCAGTCTGACATCCTGGCTCCATTGTAATTACCATTAGGGATTATTGCCAGCAGCACGTGCTGAATATACAGTTCAACTGTGATTATTCTGCTTTACCCACTGAAATAACCTTGCTTCCTTACATAACATTTTTCCTGAGAATTATCTTACGGACATAATTATATCGTGTTGTTTTTCTGCCCACACATAGCAACTGCAGGAAGAAATGGAAACATCAAAGATCTTAATAGCTGAAATTTTAAAACAATGCTCAAACATGCCTTCCTCTTGTGAGTGTGGCAGTTGGGGGTAACATTGAAGCAGAATTTATTTTTTTCTGTTGTTTTGTTGCTTTGGATGTTCTGTAGAACTTAGATTTGAAAGATTACATACCAGAGCAGAATAATATATTTCTGTCATTTTCCTAATTGCTGTTTTAAGCATTAGTGAGTTCCTATGCACTCAGCTCAGTATTCAGGAATATAGAACAGATTGCATCAGTACCCAGCTATACAGCTGAACCTCTTGGAAGCAGTGGTCATGCAAATTTTCCCATATTTATTGTCATTTAGTCCTAGTTTGAAAAACTATATAGGTAGGGTGGCAAAAGGCTCTCTTGTCTTTCTCCTCCCCAAGCAAGCAGAAAAAGGACTGGTGTGTTCTTAAGTCAGTGGGCAATATGAAAATTGAAGTAATTTTCACACAAGATCTAGTCTCATACTGCTTTTGGAATACAGTAATTGTGGAGGAAGAACTGTGGCCACTTGTCTGTGGCAATGGGGAAAGAAGGAAATCTATTTTCTAAATAAACACAAATCATAGAATCCTCTCAGTCACTCACACCAGTCCTTTATGTTACTAATCCATGAGATTTACTTGTTTTGTTTGTAGTAAAATTACCTAAGGGATATAATCCGTATATATGTTAACATGCATTTCATATCAGTTGTCATTAAAGCTTGAGTAACAATGTCACAGATGATTGCAATATTCCAAGTGATCTCTGTATGTTTGCAGTGTATATTTAAACATCAGGAACTGTTTTTTCAGAGCCAGCTGCGAAACCATGAAAGAGAACAGCACAGTCTTCCAGATCTCTTCTCCACAGCCACAGCTAACAAACTAATAGTTTCCAACGAAGCAGATGATAGAGAAGGTACTGTTCATATTTACACTTGATATTACAAAATTCACTCATAACATTACTTGTTTGCTGTATTTGTGTGACTGGTTTTAAGATCTCTTGTGCTGAAATGCTTTCATGCCTGATCATAACCTTAAATGTATGTTCTTTCCAGAGGGCAGAATTTACCATAGTCAGTCTTGAGGTGGTGTTTATTGTTAGCTGATATATTTTTAGCCCCAGTAATTAAACCCTTCTTGTGAAAAACAACTTATATGCAATATTATTCTGGATTTTTAAGGAGAAAATCTTTTTTTCCTTCCTTCCTTTCTTCAGCAGCTATAGTAGTTTCCAAATGACCTAAACAAAATAAAGCTTTTTTTTTAAACTCACCATGGTAATGTAGTTTACTGTCAGCATATGCATACACTGCCATCCCTTCTGAATTTAGAAATTTCTGTTTAATTATGGTAATGTCAAAATGAGTAATTTATTTAAGCCCTAGCGAGGCAAATGTAAGACATTCTAAATGCAACCTGTATCTGTAAGAGTTGCCTGGGTAACAGTAGATGTGCATTTTCATAGAGACCTAGAATGGTTTGGGCTGCAAGGGACTTAAAAGCTCCTCTCTTTCCAAGCCCTCCCACTAGACCAGGTTGCTTAGAGCAACCTCGTGTTTGTTTAACTGTGTATCTGCTTCTAATTTAATAGGGTTTGTTTGCTAAACATAAACAGAAAGAAAAGAACAAAACAAAAACAAACCCAACAAACTCTTGAGGCATTAAGGTAATCAAATAGGGGAAAAAATAACCAAATTCTGAAGTTTAGGAGCAAATGTGGCCTTAAAATCCCTTTTGTGTCCTGGAAAGCCACTATGTATCATGGCAGTGTGAATGCATCCTCTTCTCTGGTGAGTTACATCTACTGAAAATATTTACAGCATTTTTATTTTGAAGGCAACACTAATTATTAGCATTTTGCAATTTTAGAGCATTATGGATAAATAGTAGTAATTAGATAGTCTCTGAACAACTGTGAGCTGAAGTATTCCCATTTTGTGCACAAAGCTCTTTTCTGTCCTATCTGTGCTCCCTCGTTTGTTTAGACAGCAAAATGTGCACTCTAATGGTACTTAGGTTGCTGTGGAGATCTCTGTGTTCTACTCTTTCCTCTACAGCTGCTCAGTGAGTGCAAAAGTGGTTGAAATGGATGCAATTTCTTGTGAAAAAAGGCACTGACCAGCAGGAGCCAGGATGGGCAGTGGTTCGCCCAAAACAACTTGATACATGTCAGACCAGAATGAGTTCTCAGCTCCCACTGCCTCCTCCTCTGGCTTTCAGTGTACAAGTTGAAAGTTAATTTCCATATCAACCTCAGGTGGAAGGTACCGGAGGTACCCTCCCAGCTCCCTTCTGCTCTCATCAATGCAGAAGGCATTTAAATTCAGGAATTGATCTGTACTGCTCAGTACCTCCCCAGGACCTAAGCCTGAGAGAGCCATTGAAAGCCAGGGGAGAAGGGAAGTGGCCAGGGAGGGTCTGTGGGAGTGGGAACCTTTCCTGTTACATACTGGGGGTTTCTGCAGAAGCAGTAGCATAAATGTTCAATGGAAGTGACAGGAAATAAAACACTGTTACTTTAGTAAGTTACTAATATCTACAAGCACAGCTTGGACTGTTACTTCTGACAGTGTTTTGTGTGCTGTAAACCAGTGTTCCTAAAGATGTCGTGATACAGGAATAACTACCTTGCAATGCCTGAAACATGGCAGGTTTGGAGAAATACTGTACTTTTTGAGCTGAACTCCTGGTAATGGGACTGGTAATGTGAAAATCAATAGTCCTATCTGCTTTTGAAATTAGTATGTTTAATGAGGTGGTTTTATAGTTTATATCCTGATTTTGTAATTTGACTTTCATGAAAGGGAAGCCCCTGTTCAAGAAATCTGCCTGCTTTCAGTTAATTTAGAAATGTTTTTATAAATATTTTTTTCTTACTATTACCTTATACAAGTGTTCCAGCCATGCACTTCAATTGTTTACCCCACGTGAAATTTAGTAATGGGGCTTGGATGAAAACAGTTCTCCTTTTAAACTTTTATTAACTCATACTGTGGAATGCTTAAATTATTTCAGAATCAATTTATAATCAAATTGCAGCACCACTGCAGTACAGCAATCTCTTGTCAAACAGATGTCATCCCTATAAAGCAACACAAAACAAAGAAGTTTATGGCATAGCATCTGTTTATGTGAAAGATGCCTGAGCTGGAACAGTTTCATTTCTTGTTTATGAAATGGTTAGTCCTAAAAGTCTCTTTATTCATCATGGTTGTACAATAAATTAAAAGGAGCATTACAGCACTGGATATGATAGGATTGTAAATGTCTAATAATGAAGGAATAGGGTAATAAGCAGCATTAGAGGAGCACCTGTTACTGCTGCTGCAACAAAGATCTGTCATTTCCATATTCACTTGTAGGAGACCTGATATTCTCCATCCAGAAAACAAAACAGGCCCCAAACCCACAAGAAATAAGCCAGTGGAGGGGGTGAGGGACACGAGTGCTATTTTATAACAGCAAGAGATTATGTGATGTATTATAATTTATGTGCATTTTGTGGAAGGAATAAATATAAAGTAGTGATTGGTATAAATAATTGCTCCTAAGTGTGTGCTGCTGGGTGTGAGCATCTTAGAACTATGCTGTAGCTAATATGTTTGCATAATGCTTTAAAAATCTCATTAGATACTGTTGGTTTTAAACTGCCTGCCCACTGAAATACCAAATTCGTAAAAGAAAATACATTTGGGAGCAGATCATTCTAAAGCTGCAGAATTTAAGATGGAAAACCCCTTCAAGCACAGCACAGCCCCTGCTCTCCCATGGATCTGCAGCCCAGTGAGTGTCCTTGATCCACTTGAGGTCTCCTACATGATTGTGTCTTCATAAAAGAATAATGCATAGATATAAATTCCAAAGTCTTCAAGTAAATAGTTAGGATTGTTCTGATAACTTTTACATTAAAGGAAAAATAAATCTAATAAATTTTGAGCATTTTGTAGGAAAAAATCCAATATATTTTGCTTTAAGGTTGACTTGCAAAGAGTGCCTGCTGTTGTTATTTCTTATAAGAATGCTAAAGAGTGAGAACTGTGTGATGTTTTAAAATTAAATATAGGAGATATATTTTCGGTTATCTTGGTACACACAGAAATATTCCTATTTTATTTCACTATCTTTGCATTCAGACTGCTACTTTATTTTATATGATATACTATATATTCTTCACAATAACCCTCTGGGGTTATCAGCCTTACCTAATTACTTTGCATCTTGAACCAAAAGTGCTAAATTTTGGAGTGAAAGTTTAATTACTTGTAATTTTTCCTTCCTATTGAAGCTGTGTGACTGTATTCATCAGAATAATATATCTAGAACCCTTTTTAGCAAAATTCAGTGCCTGCCTGTGGGAAAAGAAATGTCTCTTTAAAAGAGTTTTACCATCATGACTCTTTAATTGTTTTGATAATGAGAAAATTCAGCCTAAAAAGAAAGTGCATGAGGTACAGCATGATAGGCTGGAATGGGAAAATTACCTGCATTAAAAATACCATCCCTCTTCCCAAATGTTAATATCTTAACCCAAATCAGTCCCATTATTCAGTGAGGGAACAGGAACAGGGCTGTTAAAGTGTACACACTTCTATCTCAAAACTATTCCAACTGTGCACTGGTGGGCACACATTTTCCTGTGGAAGGAGTCATTAGCCTTTGTCTCTGCAACCATTAATTTTTCAAGAGTCTTTTTCATTCTGGAAGGAAAAAAATTACTTTTGTGCAATTGCTTTTTAGTCATTTGGATAAGTTCCAAATTATTTATTAAGACATTTGGTCAATAACTATTTTTTTTATCATCTCATGTCTTTCAGAAAGTGTGAGTGTATGTTGGATGATAAAGAGGATTTAGAGGCTTCGGGAGGTCTTTTGCTTTCCTTTTCTGTGTTTGCCAGTTTGAAACTCATCCATTCTCAATCCCAGTCTTTGATTTGATGCATTCTGCAATGCAATGAAACGCTGGGTTCAGCATCCCACATATTATCACCTTTTGCTGTAACACAGGACTTTACCCAACTGCAGGGAGAAGGAAATGTCCACACAGAATGTGTTTTCCTAAAATTTTAATAATTCCTGTAAATGGCAGGGCAAATGCAGAACAGTATGGTAAAATAAACCATACTTTTATTACCTCTATGCCTGTTGTCTTATTTGATACTTTAAAAGTATTAAATATTTATCGACATTCAAAACTTACTTTAAAATGTAAATTTGTGTTTCATAATTCAGTTGTGATGAAATTACAATCTGAGAATGCCTTACAGCGCTGAGTGCAGCTCTCTAAAATGATGGATTTTGTTCCAACAGGAAGCAAGTGTTCAGGCCAGAAGCTGTTCAGGTGTGATGTCTGTGACTACACGAGCACGACGTACGTCGGCGTGCGGAATCACCGCCGCATCCACAGCTCGGATAAGCCATACAGGTGAGTGCCTGCCTCGCCCTGCCAGGGCCACCCAGCTGCTCCTGCACCTGGCAGGGCTGCTGGAAAAGAGCTGCAGTTACACTGTTTTACTGCAAATTACTGAAGGAGACACACTTGCTGGCTGACTCAAACCATGTAATTAAGATTTGCTAATTTTTCCAGAATGCATCTTTTGCTATGGCAGTCTTCTGCCTGTTTTCAGTTTGAAGCATTCACATGTGGAGTGGAAGATAATTCTGTTATGATACTGGACTTTGGCCAACAGTAATAAAATATTTCTCAAAACCCTTCCACACCTAACTTCATTTTGGATTTGCTTTATTGCAAAATGTTTTCCATTGTCATATTACTGCTTTATACATCAGCTGCTACAAAGTGTGGAAAAATTCTGCCCTTGTCACCAAGTGCCTCATCTTTTTCACTGGTTTCTAACAATAGTAACATACTCACTAAGGATCATATTTTATAATTTTTCTACAAGGGTATCATATGGGTTTATATAGGAAATTGGGTACCTAAAACCACATGTAATACTATTGCTGAGGTCCTCAGCAAAAATATACATCCTGCATTTTCCTATTGGATACTGCATAAATTCCCCCAAATTCAATCTGTGCTTATGCAGGGTGGATCTCTGTCCCTCTCTAGTGGCTAGAAAACAGATCTGAGTCAATAGATTTTTTGAGCTGATCTTTAATGTAAACTTCTTTAGTGTAAATTCTGAAAGATTTTTTGAGCTGATCTTTAATGTAAACTTCTGTCTTTAGTGTAAATTCTGAAAACTCAACACCTTGAAAGGCTGAGCTAAGCCAGGGACTTTCTCTTCTGGATAAACAAACCCCAAAGACTTGTTGTATTTTGATTTGTGCATTATAATGATATCCCATAACACCAGCAAAAATTCACAAGATGTTTACTCAGAGAGCAAGTGTGGAATACAAATAGATTGTTTTCTCCTCAGAACCTTCACTATTACCATTATTTATTACTTAGTGAGGTTGGAGCAGCAGATACTGTAGAGTGTCTTGTATGTGGTAGTTTTCAAATTGGTGTTAGCAGCCTGTTTTGATTTAGGAACCCTTGGAAATTTTCCATTGGTGATACACACTGCTGCATACTAAATACAAACCAACCCATCTGCCTTGCTTCTCTTATTATTTTTTCATAAACCCCTTAGACAAATCTGAAAACCTGGCAGGATACTTGAGCCAGAGTCTGAAAACCATAATGATCGAGTATTTATGGTATTTCTCCTTCTGAAACATGAATTCCTCAAGCCTTCCATAGTGTCAAACAGCAACTACTACATTGCTGCCTTTTTGAGAGCTGTAAATATACTTTATTATTTGTTTGACAAAACTTGCTGGAAACTAAGCTGTAGAGCCTTAAATGATATGTTTTTGTAGATTTTATATGTTTTGTATTTTAATACTGCACAATTAAATCCTTACAAAAATATATTCTCAGGGTAAGTGTGAGGCAGTTTCAAACTGTTTCACACTACAGAACATGCTTTCTAACTGGACATTTTACCATTAAAAAAAAGAAACAACTAAAGTTCAAACAAATACATAAAAATTTTAGCTGAGCTTGATGGTTTCTGTTTTAATATGGTAGATACAGGAAGGTTGTGTGGTAGTATATTGATATTTATGAATAATAAGGAATTTGTGTAATACTTTGGGATCTAAATCCATGTATCTGAATTCAGATCCACACTGCTTTATGTATTGGTTTTATAGAAAGATATTGTGACAGAAGTAAAAAAAAATAAAAATTTGAATGGCATGATGTGACACGCTTAGGGCACTTAAATCTGAATATGTTGATCTTGTCACTGACTTCTTTTTCAGCAATAAAGCCCTGAAACTTGGTGTTTTATTACTGGTTTGGCTTTTACAATGTCATGAGAACCTTGCTGGTGCATTAAGTAGAGCACATACTCTCCCCTGCAGCTTTTAGGGTCACACAGCCTTTGGAAGGGCTGCACTCAGCCACCTGCATCCTCACCTCCCTTGCCCTTAGTGATGCTTACCCACACCAGGAGAGGGGCACGAGAGAGATTTCAGGAAGAAGCATCATCTGTAAGCCTAGTGATGCTTGCTGGAAGGTGGAGGCTTTTTTGGGCTGCAAAGATTCTCACTGCCCCAGAGCAGTTATGTCATAACCTGGAGCTCTGTAAATATGGTTATTCCTCAGCTGTAGCCTGTCCAGGCACCTTAGCATTCTGCTGGCTGTTGGGGTTTGGAGCAGGCTCAGCAGTGCACGGGCAGACCAGTCACTTGTTGTTGTCTCTTCAGATGTCGCGTGTGTGACTTCGCCACCACAAATATGAATAGCTTGAAGTGCCACATGAGGCGGCACCCCCAGGAGCACCAGGCAGTGCAGCTCTTGGAACAGTTCAAGTATGTAACTCACGTGGCAAAAGCTCTGACACCGGGGTCTTGTTGTTGAAGCAGTGTTCAGATCCTGTTCCCTTCCCTCCTAGAGTCATTCTTTGCTCCAGAGTTGTTTGGGGTTGTGTGGGGTTTTTTGATGGATTTGCCATTGGCATTCCAGGCCATGTTTCTGCTGGCTGATTAAACATGTCCATACTTCCCTCTGGGACACTGTTTAGCTTTTCCTTTCCAGAATGTGGTGGTTGCACACAAACTGCCTATTGCAAGTAGTTTCTGGGCTGTGTTAATTACCTAAGCATGCCTGGAGTTGTTTAGGAGATGTATGAGCCAAAACCATGCCATGGCACTTCTAACATTTAACATTATAGACAGGTAAATTCCAGTATCCAAGAACATTTCCTGGCTTTCTTTAATATCTCAGTCTAGGCACAGCCTTTGCATGTACTTGTCAGCTGGAATGCAGGTTGGCATCACCTAGTTAAGATTTAGCATGAATAGCCATTAAGGGATGAGAGTCCCTTGTAGTCTGTCCATAGACATGGGTGGTTTATAGAGGTATGAGAAAGTTGGTAAAAATTTGTGTACTACTGATTTGCAACAAAAAATAGAACTTGGGAAGGGAAAGGAAAGAAAATCAGGAATAATCTGAATATTTCTTAGTGGAAGATTTTAAGGGCAATATGAAAAATCTAAATAAAGCACACTCATATAGAGGTTTCTTCTCAAGAAAAGCTGCTTCTACAACTTGAAAGTACTTCCACTGCATTTTTCCCAAAATGTTCCTAGAAGCATTAAGTTGTATTTGCTCAGCTGTCATCCTTCCCACAGTATTGCTCCTGGTATTACCATGGATTATTGGAATCCTCCACACTTTAGTCCCTGACCCCAGGGAATTAGTTTATCCAAAGCTGCAAGAGAATTGTTTCCTCAGTGTATCAAAGTAGACAACACCTGAACAGTGAGGTTTAATAATTCAGCACAAATTAAGCAGTATATTATGGAACTGAAAGGCTTCTGCTACTAAACTCAGTGGTAAATAATTTTGTTTCTCTGAGAAAGTTGCATATACTGTAAATACATGATCATTAACTGTAGTGCAGCATGCTAAAAGCTGTTGGAGTTTCTGTGTCAGATTTGAACTGTATGCTAAAATAGACAACGGTATTTGGCTCAAAAGATACTGTTCTCAGCAAAGTAAATTGTATTAGTAAATCACCTGAGTAAATTAATGAGCTTCAAAAAATGAGAGTATTTAAAAGGGACTAAAAATGGACACTGGGCTGTGGCTTCATTGATTGTGTTCCCAAATCACTGACCATTGATTGTGTTCCCAATCACTCTAAGCAGGGTTAGTGGCACAGAAAATCATATGTATTGTGAGACTAGTGGGCACATTAAATGTAGTTAAGATTATTTGTTGACCTTTGGGTTTTACAAAAAAATTATTTTATCTATAAATTAGCTATAAGGTCTGCCTTTTATCTAATTATGTATTTTGTAACAGCCTTATTAGAGATACTAGGATTCCCAGTCTGAGAATAGACTCACTTATCTCTGAAAGCATCCATTTTCTTTGTAAGGCTCCACATTGAAGGAAAAGAGACAAACAGGATCCTACATTCCAAATCAGTAGGGAAGAGTGAGCTAGAAGGACACACCCATTGTTCCCCAGCAGGACAGAAATACCTTGCTCCATAAGCAAGGTAATGTACTGTGCTTTCACCTCACTTGGGAGATTTCTGCTCTTCTCTGCAATCTTCTGCTGAGCAGAAATAGTTTGCTGTGTATGATTGTTTGCAGGCTATTTAAGGACTATACCCTACTGTCATTAAGAAAAGTCATAAAACCTTACTGAATTGTAGTGTATAATGTGGTTTTATGTAGGCCTTCTTGTGTTTCCAGGTTACATTTCTGAAAAGGTCTTAAAAATTAACAAAAACTGACTTGCATTGTGGTCATTTTAACAGACTCATCATAGTAACACACTGGGATCACATTGCTTGAGCAGAGCTGCATTCCTAGTTATCATTTATTAGCACAAGGTCACCTTCAATTGATTCTGATCTTTTCCATGGGATCTGGGGAACTGAAGCCTTCCCAAGTAGCAGGCAGCTGAGCAAAAGAGCTTTTTTATCCAAAAGACAAAAAGACAGATCCTGCTCTCAAGTGATGTCATGCAGTATCACTCATCTCCTTCATGCTGAGGTGACTAATTTATCATCTTAAAAAACACATAAAAAAACCTCCTCTGATGTATATTCATGCATGAAAAGGGTTATACAGGATTTGATCAGTCTTGGGTTATTTCTGTCCATAAATATACACTACATCTCCCTGTCAATAGGATTTATTCTTCAGGGTTTTGTTCTTTACTGCCTAAGATGGTGTTTTACAGGGAAATAGAAAATTTAGTCTTGTGGTACCAGAGCTGATTGAAAACTCTATGAAGAAAATGATCACCTGTCTGAATTTTGATCTGTGAATATATTCAGAATCTGACACTGCCCTCAGCAGCCTGCTGATCCTGCTTGAGGGGCTGGATTGGACTGTGTGACCTCAAGAGGTCCCTTCCAACTTCACCAACTCTCTGATCCTTAATAAACTAATACCTGCTGTACCAGGAAAGACTTATTTAGTTCAATTGACATAATTAGTGTTAATTACACAATTCCTGCTTGGTTCAGAGCAATGGCAGGGAGAGCTCACCACCTCCCTGCCAGATGCCATGTTTCTGCACTCAGCAGAAGTACTGCATTTCTGCAGGGTTTACACAATTTCATCAGCCCAAACAGATGAGATTTCAATTCAGCTGTTTAGGAAATAAAAATACATATATAGTAGAGAGTTCTCAGACCCTAAAAATAGTCTTACATTTCAGGATGAAACTTTGCAAGCTAATGTGACCCAGTTATGAAACCGAAAATGGGACCAAGAAGAAGGTTCACATGGATCTCTCTGCTTACTCATCCTTTTGGAAGAACTAAACCATTACCAAACAAATAAAATATAACTTTTAAATGGTTCTTTTTCCTTCTCCATTTCCCCTCCAGATGTTCTCTCTGTGGATATGTATGTAGCCATCCTCCATCCCTGAAGTCCCACATGTGGAAACATGCAAGTGACCAAAATTACAACTATGAACAAGTGAACAAAGCTATTAATGATGCAATTTCACAAAGCAGTAGGTATGTCTGATTTACTGTCAAGCCCTATTATCTTTCAAAAGACCCAACCCTGACCCAAAACAAAGTTCCCATCTAAAAGCAACAGCTGTATATTTTAATATTTGTTTTGTTTTTTGTTATTATTTCAGGTTTCAAGGACAGCTGACTGACAAAACCTTATTAGAAGGTGCAGATGAAAGTACAGTACCTATACTAGGAAGTTCAGACAACCTGGTGTCTTTTACAGAGTCCATTAACCAGACTACAAATGAAATTTCAGGTTCTGATGAAAATGAAAAACCTACCTTGATGAATACCTCATGCAGTTTAGAAAAGAACTCCACTCTACCCCATCTTGGCACAGAATACTGTGTTCTTCTCTTCTGCTGCTGCATTTGTGGTTTTGAGTCTACCAACAAAGAAAATCTGCTGGATCATATGAAAGAACATGAGGGTGAAATCATAAACATCATTCTAAACAAGGACCACAGCACGACTCAGAATACAAACTAGGTGAAGCAGTAAGTTGAGAGGATTTCCTAGAGTGAATATTTTCTTTTTTGCTAATTTTTGCCTGAGAAACTTGCTAAAGAGAAGAATTGCAAGCAAAACTTGATTTCCCATCCTGAGTTCTTGTTTCAGTAGGAGTACAGTGTTTGAACCAGGGACCGATGAATCATTTAAGAGATAAATATAAGGTGTGGAGAATAGAATGATCCAATTTAACCTGTTACTTCTTTATATGGTGCCAAGAATGTAGGATTGTTGCTTTTTTTCATTTCCTGTCAGGTACTAGTCAGTAATAATGCATTAGCACAGTACTTTAAAACCCAAAGGTGTGAAAGCTTTGAATCACTTTAAAAGCTTCTTTCTTCCTACCTCTTTGTTGTTTTCCAAGTAATTCAGCAAAGAAGGTTTTTACCCTCTTTTTTGAAAGATGATCTGGCAGATCAGGTAGAACTGTTACAGTATGATCTGGTAATCCCTCTCCCTGGAAGGTGGGGAGAGGGGAGGTGGGTCAGGGCATGTGTGTGTCACATTCACACACAGGAGTTCCATTTTTCCCAGTCTATTTTTGACTTTACAAACTCCCATGTCATTTTCCAACAAAGACTGCCATCCTTTCCATTGATTTACAGCAGCAGGAGCTGAAGGGCCTAGAAGCATTTTGTTAATAACTATTTGTTTGATTGGATCTTAACTACAAAACTGCTATCTTTTCAACTCATAGTGTGTCACAGATTATTTTTTATAACAATAACCTGTTGTTTTTTCATGGTTTTCTTGACATGTTCAAACAAATTATTTAGAAAAAGAAAAACTTATAATGTCACTTTCCATTTTTGGTGATTATTTTGCAGTATGGATGAGCAATGTTTTTACTGAGAACAAGATATTAACAATAATTGCCACAAAGTGATGCAGATTAAATCTATGTAGATTCCAAAAGATGTAGGTGAGCACAAATTGGGATTTTCAGAACGCCTACGTGCTTTGGCAATCTTTGAAATGCCACTGGCTGGCCAGATTTCCCACTTGTCTGTCAGAGCTGTAACTGTGGAAATAATGAGCTGAAAGATAATCTTCCTGTAGAAAATCATATTTAAAAAAAGAAATGGTAAACAATGTCTTAAGCCAAATTGTATCCAGTCACTTACTGAATAAATTTTACTAGTGCCTATAGTATGGATTGATAAAAGGAATTAGAGATTACCTTGTTGACTAAGAAACACACAGAAATCTCACCCTTTAAAACCCTTCAGCTTTTAAAATTACAGTGTGAGTATTTTTTGTGTGTTGTTTTTACAGTTACAGCAGCTGGCAGCAGAAGATACTCATCTGTATATCAATGTGGAATATTATTACACTTGCTAGTTCCTGGCAACTTTGTTAAGTTATTGATTAAGTTGGCTGCTTAATTTCTTGAAAGATTCATTAAGTGTAGTATCACTTCCAGAGAAGCCCTTTGGCAGCCAGATTAAAACTCCCTAGTTCAGGCATGGATTCCTGCTCCTGGTGAATGGCAGATGCACAGCAGCTTGCCTGGTGCTCACACGGGCATGCAGTGACCTGGTTTTTAGTAGCTCAGTATTTACCACATTCCTTACTCTTAGGAAAACAGTGGTTTCTGGTTCCTGTATTTGCACCCTTCTGGCAGCAGAAATGAGCTGCTGCAGCTGTAAATGTGAGAGGCTGGCACACGGAGTGTCTGTATTGTGCTAGCACTGCCTGGAAGTGGCAGCCAGGAAAAGAAAACAGTACCAGAAGTCACAGCTTCATGAAGCAGCACAAAATGTAGAGGCCAGGGTAAAAGCACTAAGACTTCAAGTGTATTTGATACTTGTTTGCAAGAGGTTTCCTCAATTTGACTTCTTCTTTTGGGTTAAATAGGTATTATTTTGTTTATAAATTAGATAGCAGAAAGTACACATTTGACTTGAAGAATTAGTCAGGATATAAGGTCAAAGCATTTTTGTGTTGAATTTTTTACATACTTTAAATCCGTATTTGAAATTAATTATACATTATTTTTTGATAATAGTTATTTTTCATGTTCCTACGGCTGTATTTTACATTTGAAAAACACATTATTTATTTACATGATCCCAAATTCCAGAAGAGGTAATATAAATATCCCATTAAAAGTTTATGTCTTACTGACACCACTATTTTGCCTTCAGTATAGATTTAATGTGAAAATACTACATCATCTGGAATATATCTCAACTTTCTCACTCAGAAATCCCATTTGTTTGAAAAATTAAAGGACAGTGAGATCCCTAGTAATGCTAAACTACCAGTCAGTATTCACAGAAACAATATTTACCACACTGTTATTTTTGTGTATTCTGTTCAAGTTGCTCAGCTAGTGAAAGACAAAAAAAGGAAAAACTTGCATTCATAAGCTACAAAGGAGATGGCAGTGCACCAGAATTTCAGAAGGCAACAACCTTGAATCCAAACAAGCAGCTCTGGTGTGTGTGGAAGCCACAGGAGCAGTGCTCTGTGCAGTGCCCCAGGAATCAGTGATTCCTGAGCAGGATGTTCACAGTGGTTCTTTGCCATCTTGTTGCTCTGTTCTTTTTGACCATGTGTTCCTGTAAAACAGAAAGCTACTTGCCTCTAAAAACCATTATCAGTCCTGACAAATGCCAACAAAGCATTCTTTCCCATATGCACAGAGATTTACTTTTTTTAGCTGTCTCCATGCTGCTTGCAATTAGTTACCCACTCACAGTTCCCAGGGACTTTGTCAGAAGTCCTGCATGTGAAATAATTATAGACTTAATTTTTCTCAAAGCAAATTGTTTCTCAGGTTATCTGCTTTTGAAAGTGTATGGCTGGCCTGGTTGCATGTTTTGTAAGGGGTTTTAAGCACATTTCAGAGTCACTAACACTGCAAATTTCCCCTTTCTTTAAGCTTTTAAACTATTTTTGTCTCTTCAGTCACAGCACTAGCAGGCGATCAGCTATTCACGTGCTGTTTGTTTAAATTAGATTTTATTCTGTGATACAAACTGTACCTTGCAGCTTTGTTTGCAATGCCTGTACTTCCACTAAAGAGCAAAATTCATACTTGGCTGTGCTGAAAAATGGGTGCATATTTCATCTTCCTGATTTATGCTTGACCTGGAAAAACAGAGTGGGATTCAGTTGGAGTTATTGTATTTTCCTCTTTCATAAGCACTTATTTAATCATTTAAAGAAATGTACAGTTGGTGCTCAAAGTAACATTTGTTAAGATATATTTAATAGAAATTTACATTTGCATTTGATATTCATGGACATGGGTACATGTATTTTTTTAAGAAAAGGTATTGTAACACTATGGCACTGCTTTTATAGCCAAAGTATAAAAAAATTTAGAAAACTGACATGTAAAGACTGCAGTTAATTCTGATACTGTATCTTATGAAATAGGATGAGTTTTGTTTTATAAAGTTATCCAGCACATTAAGCTGCATGCCTTAAGCTCTCTCTAGGATTGTGTTCCTGATAGGCAACTCTTTGGAAGGATGAAGCAAAGTCTGTAGTACTACTTTAACTACCTTCTGGAATACTGTACAATGGTAGAATAATTTATTTTGCTTTACAGGAGTTTGTCACGTATTGACTTTAATATTGTATTTTGGTAATAAACTTTTTTTTGTTAAACTCTTTAGTCACTTTTATTTGGTCTCTATGAAATATGAACATAGAAAATCCAAACACTGAACCCAGTGTTTAGAGAGAGGGAAATCTGGTTGAGTCAAAAAGTATTTGACATACTTTACTGCCATTTCTTACTGTTGTATGAAGTTATTAGTATTAGTTGTTATTACTAGTTTAAATACTGCTAATACAAGTTTTATCAAAGTAACTGTTGTGAAGAAATATGAAACTATTAAGTCACAATATTTGTAAGTCTGCATGCAGTTAGGGTGGCACCATGCTGAAGAACTGCAGATTTGAAATTCATAATGAAACTAGTAGGAATTTTTTCCCTAATTTAAATAGAGTGAATGCCTTAATCAGCTTTTTTTCAGGTGATTGACTTTTGCTTTTCCATCACATAAGCTAAAACATATCTTGAAATCTGTTTTTAAATATACAGCATATTTCTTGGCCTTGCTGGAGCTTTTCTTCCCATCTTTCTCAGGAAAAAATAGTCAGTTGGTGTTGCTGGGGAGAAAAGAGAGAGTATGGTCAGGATACCCACTGCTGGTATCAGCATGGTTACAGTTACACAAACAAGCAATCTTTGCCATTTTCTTCTTGCTATTATTAAGGCCCTGGGCCAAATATGTTGAAATAAAGGCTGGAACTACAAATGGGTTTAGATGCAACACTACAGAATGCTGTGTCATGCAGCTTTTTCACATTTTCTCTAATGCAAAACCTGGGGAAAAAGCTCTTTATAGCAGGATGTGGCATCCAGGTGTTGTCCTGTTCACTGGGCTGAAACACCTTCCTCACTTCAGCCGAACAGAGCACGAGAGCTCCCCCCATAAATAACCTGATCACAGGTGGGGTGGGCACCCCGGGTCCTGTGAGGGCTGGAGCAGCCCTGGGGGCTGGCAGAGAAGAGAGCCCTGGCAAGGGCAGTGGGATTCACTCTGTCCTAGATCCCTGGCAGGTGTTTAGGGCTGGAATTGCTGCGGAAAGCTGATGCACCACAGGGAGCCTTTGTTCTGCATCCCCTCGAGGCACGTCTGGAGAAGAGCTGTCACACCAGGGACGGACACCACTGAACTGACCTAAGATTAGCTAGCTAATGAAATTCACAATTGGTAAAGCCAAGATTTTATTTGCCCAAAAGCAAAAACTTCAGGAGCCTGAAAAGCTTTAAAAGTTGAGAAAAGTGAGAACCCAGAAAATTGGCATGTTTGCCACCTACCACAGCAACTCAAAACACTGCAGGTTTAGACTTAAAGTTTACTGGGGCAGAACGTGAGTCCTCCTGCTTTTCTAGTTCATGGTAGCTCTTTCTAAAGTAGAACCCAAGAGAAAACACAAATAAACTGAATTTAAAGTTTCTTCCAACCATTTCCCATTTGTAGATGTTTGGCACTTGCTGGGATTATGGCTAACTTGGTGCCACTACTTTGATCTAGTTGGGACAGAATGAGCAAACAGAATACTGTTAAATATCCTTTTGCTATTTTGGCAAGTAAGAAGCCAGCATTGCAACAGTATTATAACAATACAGTTATGATATAATCATCAGTATTACTGATTGCAAGCTACAGTTTGATACTTTTAATTTACGTTTTATAATACAACTTTTAGATATTAATATCCATCTGGAAGCTCTTTAGTTCTTCTGTATTCTCATACCTGAAACATTACAAATCCTTTACATCCATGCATGGGGTCATGAAACACAGGAGAATTAAGATAACTCCCCCTTCTTAGGGATTTCTGAAGCTCTTCACTGATTATGTTTTCTAAACCATTTCTGCAACTGCTTGTTCATGTAGAATTTACTTTGCATTGGCCTCTTTACAAGCAGTGGAGAAGTAGAACTGTTATTCCAGGAAATATCTTCCACAGCATCCCCTTTCTTAGAAATGTAAGTACATTATCTGCTTTACACAAAAACCTGCAGGCACTCAAGGTGTTTATCTACACTGTAAAATTTCTTGTACGTATACAATGTGTTCATTTCAACAAACACATGACATCTAGGATGTGAGAAAAGGAAGGTAAATCTATTGCCCATGGTAAGGCACATATTTATTTAGTTTTCATTCTTAGTTTAAGCATTCCCACAAATGTATGAGCTGCCTTACTGCTAAAAAAAAAAAAAAACCACGAAAAACATGAAAACCAAAATAAATATGGCTGTAAATTGACTTACAGTAGAAATGTTTAAATATTTGGCAGACTTGATCAGAAGTAAGATAATTCTGTTGTTTCTAAACAATACTTACAAAACAAAATAAGGACGCAGAGCAGATACTGAAAAATTTCCTGATTTCTAGTGCCAATGGCTTCAAAGTTCAGAATGACCAGGATGATTACTACATCATTTTTTTGCTGTCTCTGAGCATGCTTTCTATAAATTTCATGGCTCTTCCTGCTTGAAATACCAAGTTTTTCAATGAACCAAGGCTGTGGAATGAGAGAAAAAAAAAAAAGTACTGCTGTACTATAAAATTATGATGGAAAATCAACTAAATATTGTCCTGAAGAAGTGAACTCTCTCCCTGACAATTCCACAGAATTTGTATGGATTTTTGGGAAATCAGCCGTCTGTGATAGGACCTGGAGTTGGTTTGTTGGTTACGGCTTCATGGGGCATGGTTTTTTCTACAATTACTAAAGACAGTGCAAATAAAACTTACAATGAAGACTTACTGCAGGGCTGGGTTGTAGCCATGCAGTAGAACAAAGTCTGGCACTGCCGCGATCTTCCAGCTACAAAAGGTCTTTCCCCCTTTAAACGTTTATGGTGCAGTTAAGCAAGAAATACAGGGGAGCTTACAATGCGTTGAACAGAACACGCAGCTCTAATCTCAATTTTTAAATCACACATATCGGGGGGGAGAGGGGCGGTGAGAAATACATTTTTTAAAAACCGCTACAAATAAATTCTAGGGCACTATTTGAGGAAAGCATCCTCGGACAGCGGTGCCCCGGGGAGCGGACCCGCTCGGGCCCGCAGCCCCTTTCCCCAGGGCTGCCCGGCTGCCCGCCGCCGTGCCCCCGCGTGCCGGATTTCCGCCCGCAGCCGCTCGGAGCGGCGGCGATGGAGGCAGCGGGGCCGGGGGCCGGGCCTGTGACGGGCGCCTGTGCCCGCCCCGGCTCTCGGTCTCCGCCCGGCAGGGCCGAGCGCCCGGCGCCGCGCCCGCCCCTTCCCCTTTCCCTTCCCCTTTCCCTCCGCGTTCCCCGTCCCTGCCCGCGGCGGGCCCGGGCGGCTCCCGCAGCAGCACAGCGGCCGCAGGTAGCGGGGCCGGCGGGCCCTGCCCCGGCCCTGCCCGGGCCCGGCCCTGCGGGGCCGGCTGGAGCCGCCCGCCCCGGCGGAGCGCAGCCCTGCGGCACCGCCAGCGGGGAGGGCATGAGCATCGTGCCTTTGTTCATTGATTGTCAGGTGTGCTACAGAGCCGCTCTTAGAGCGTCAGCTCGCCCGGTTCCCCGCGTGTTCCCCCAGGTGTGCGGGGAGGAGGCGAGGCGGGTCCGCCGCGAACGCTTCGAACAAAGTTGTGCGGTCGGGGCGCTGGTTCCGCGGCACCGAGCGCGGGGAGCAGCTGTTGCTGCCGGGCGGAGCGGGCGGGGCCGGACGGAGGGAAGGGAAGGGAAGGAGGGCAGGGATTGTCACTGCCCGCCGGTGCCCCGCGCTCCCGGCCCAGAGCCTGCCCACGGACGGGGCAGGGACCGGCCGGGCTTCTGGGCTTGAGATGCTCTCAAATTCTACGGCGTGGAAAACATCGAGTGTTTTTTAATGCTGTTTCTAGGTGTTCTCTGTCATCGCTTTTGCATCTTCTGACCCCCTTTTTTGGGTGTTTCCTGAAAGTCAGGATTTAAATGACTGGCTTCATATTTTAGGCACCCAATTGAAATAGACTGAAAAGACTAATTTTTCTTTGAAGAGGTTAGATGTTTTAAAAAAGGGGAGCCTGATGTGTGTTTTGAGTCAAGGGCTAAAAAACTGAGGGCAGCCAAAATAACAAATCATTCTGAAAACCTGTTCAAGAGTATGTAAAATGGTGAACATTAGTCTTTATAATTCTAAGATAATGTTTTCTTTAACGTACTTTAATTTGCTGAGTGGTACAGACTTAAAGAAAAACCTTGCATTTTGATAAGATAGCCTTACTGTACATAAGAAATGTACAGTAGAGTTCTAGAAGTCAAAGTCAGTAATACGTGGTTTTATTTTCACGTATTTCATACAGTATCAAGTGGCTGCTTGGGTGGGAAGATGCATTGCTTGTGTGTGTCCATTTAGGAGTCAGGCTGAAGAATAATGAATTGAAGTGACGGACACCATGACAACCGTAAGACAGAGAAGGGTTGGAAAAGGCACAGAAGCAGCTGAAGATCAGCCTTCAGAGGAGACAAATGTGAAGCCTGATGGGAAAATTCTGCCTGGTGAGTAATGAAAAACAAAGTGACGTTCTGGTTTTTTAGTAATGTTTTGGTTTTGATCTGTCCCAAGCACAGCTCAGGGCTAGGCATGTGCCAAATGCATTTCCATACTTGAGTATCACCAAAATTAATTGGGTGAGACAGAGGGTCTTATGCAGATTGTTCCATGTCAATTTTATCTCTGTTTTAAATCCATGTCATACTTATCCTAGTTTAAATTGGTGACAACAATTTTTTCAATTTATTATTGGTGACACACTATCAGCTTGTATGCAGCCATCCAAAGTTCTTCAAAGAATCCCAGTCCAAATCATTGGTAACATAAAAGGATTTGAAGACAACTGATGAAATGTACTTAAAAATAGGCAGGTTGCATATAAAATCCAAATTTAACTGCAAACTTTTGCTTTTTAATTTACAGGACACAGGTTAGTTAAATTTATAAGAGTCATTAAGTGTCTTAATTCCAGGATCTGTTTAAGTAATGAAATTCTGACAACATTTTTGTATGGAATTACAGCTTTAGTGCTGACAGAGTTCCTTGTTTTTTGGGGGGATTTTTAGATTAACTTATTTTAAGGGATATTTTGATCTAAATTTTAAATGTTTCTCTGCATTTGGGCAGATGAAAGGAAATTCTGCACAAACACACTTAGGCTACATACAGAAAGAACAAGTGGTCATGGTTCTCTGCAGCCCAGCCCTCAGTGGCATGGAATTGCATGGCTGGAAACCTTAGGCAGATGTCACACACAATATGAAATAGCCATTTCAAAGATACAATTCCAGATCACAAATCCATGTTAAACCTTACATTACCATTGAAAATACAAAACCCCTGGGAATGTAAGTGCCCAGTGAAGGCCTGGAGGGCAGAGCCCATCCTTTCTCTGCCATCACCCCATCCCTGCCCCTGCTCCTGTGTCAGCAGGGGCCCATCTGCAATTCAGAGCATGGCACCAACATCAAAGGCTGCTTTGGCTGCTGTTCAGTCTCTTTGTGGGTATTTAGTGAGGCTTCTGAACCTTCACTGTTGTTTTTACAAAAACTGAGCAAATCCCCCCCCAAAAGGCAGCTATTTTTAGACCTTTCTTGTGAATTTCTTGCTTTGTCATCAGTCATGCTGTATTGCTTGAATTTAAATAGTTCTGGAAGATATTTCAATTCAGATTTACAAATTAATTATGGCATTGAGCTAAACTTGTATAGGATAATTGTGTTCTTAAATTTAAAGTATTTAAATTTAAATTTGTGTACTTAAATTTAAAGTGTGCCAGTTAAGGCACTCTTTACTTAACTTTGTATGTAAATTAAATACTCTGATTTTTATATGAGAAAATGAAAAAAAAAGCTGTGTTAAAACCAGATGTCCTGTTACCTGCACAATGTGAACTGTACTAGCAGAGGCAGTGGATAAATGGCTTTCCAATCTCCCCATAGGTTCAGTAACATGTTTCACAGTTACAGACTGAAATATTTCTCTTCCAAGATCCTCCAGGTGGAAAGCTGTGGAGCATACTGTCAATAACTGTTGGTGGAATTGTTGCCATCTCTCTTGGACTTCTTACTTCTGTGTATGTGGCTACACTGCATGAAAATGACCTGTGGTTTTCCAATATCAAGGTAACAATCATTTTCCTAGTTTCATCAGTAGTTTTGTGGAGCATTAATATGAACATTAGTTGAAATTTCTTTTTTTTTGGGGGGGAGGGGTATTTGTCTTGCAACCCACTCAAGACCAGAATATTTAATTTTTAAGAATTCAGTTTAAAAAAGCTGTACTTCCCTTCCCACTATACTTCATCAGTTCTATAAATACCTGTCCCCAATTTTTTCTCTAAAAATATTGCTAGAGAGCTCCTGTCTGAGTTGTAGCTATGGTTCTTCCAAAAATTGATCTTTATCTACAGTAGAATTCCAACATTTTACTTCAGTATGTTTTCATACTTTCAGTATGTTTTTCTATAATCATCTTACTTTTATGCAAAGCAATCTAAAATTAAAATAAAAACCAACAGTTAAAAGAAAATGTATGCACAATCCTGGCACACAGTTCTTGAATTGTATTTACACTGTTGTAATATTATTTTGTAATACAGTTTAGGGACAGCCTCTCGCTATTCAAAAGTAATTTTATATAATGTCATCCTAAATGTGCAAACCTCAAAACATATTTCTTCCATTCACTAATATCAACCCAACCATTCCAAGACCCAGGACTGACTAGTTTTTTCATAGAATCACTGCAGAGAAAATAATGCAGCTGTACCCTCAGCTAAATTTAACCAGAGAAAAGAACAGGTGAGTCATTTCCCTTTCAAATGCCTAAGATCCATTCTGCTAGGTCTGTGTATTGTGTAGTTCAAAGAGTACATTTATTTAACTGGAATACTTGCCTTGTGATATATCTTTTCTATGCTACACACTTTTTGTGGCCCAGAAACATTTATATTCCCCTAACACAAATAATTTGCATTTCCTGCAACAATTGCTGTTGTATTATACCTATAACACTGTGTTGTGCCCACCCTTACCTTCCCTTGATTATATAGAGAGGTTGTACTCAGTATATTGAAGGTACACCTTGGGTTTGCATTTTCCATCCAAAAGCAAATAGTGAGTCATTTCAAGGTGTTGAATATTTCCAAGTACAAGCAGGCATGGGCTTGTGGCAGTGGATGAACATAATGGATACATCTCTTTTCAGTCTTTCAAACTGACCCAGAGGAGCACAGAGTTGACTGAAATAAGCAGCCTTGTAATTATAATTAAGTTGTCCCCTCAATGGGTGAAGCATTTGTTTTATTTGGTAATTACTGTTTTCATTTTAAGTACACTAGAATGCCACTAGGCATCAAAACTGAAATAAACCCCTCTAGTTTTTTGTAGTCTGCATTCTGTTGTCTTTGTAGCTGTTATTTCATCCCATGGAGGTGATGGATAGCTGGTAACACTGCAACAAGAGCAATTTCAGCCAATCTGGTGGAAAGATTGTAAGAAGCATTGAGTTTATCTGGCAGCAGGGTAAAGGAGGAAGAGCTGCAGACACTCTCTGGTCTCAGTGTCCCTTCTTCAGAGGGTGTGATCTCCACCAGAGCGTGCATGTGGAGATTACCCAGTGCTGACTTCAAACAGAATACTCTGTAGGAGTAGCAGGGGAAGAGAAGAGTGCATATGAAGAGTCTGAAATTTCCTGCAAAGCTGAGGCAGGAAGGCTCATCCCAGTATCTGTAAAACAATCCACAGCTGTCTCTGTGCCTGTGTGTAGGAGTGTGGTCTCTCCAGGGCTGTGTGCATGTTTTCCAGCACTTCTCCACTGGCTAATCTTTTCACTACAGCACATACTATATACTAAGAAAGATAGCACCCTTAAAAATCTCATGGAAAATAAGTGGAAAAGGTGCTTTCTTCTCTAACATTTTATAGTTTGGCCAAAGCATCTGTTTTTGCAAATATTAACTGAACTTTCCAAAAGTTTGAAAAGTGTAAGTTTTGTTTTAGTTCATACCCCTGCCCAGATTCTCAGAAGGGAGAACTGTAGTCTAATCCTTGCCCCACAATTACTGCATGCCTTGAATAGTGAAATGCAGAGGTGATCTCACTTTATTATATTTTCATTAAACATAGCATAGAATAAATGGATGTGTTACAAATACACATCCAGTCTTTTATTAATTCCCATGCCTTTGAAATACAGTAGAGCATCATCACTGCTCTGCAAGACAGAAAAGAAAAATTCTAAATCAGTTCTATTTCCATGTATTTTAAACTACTAATTTCAGTCACCCTGAATTGGCTGTAAATGGGGCAGATTTGAAGATCTTTGTTGTTGAAATCTGATACAAAAATTATATAACAGTTATTATTCCCCTGAACTTAGTTCCTTTCATCCAATAAGCTACAATTAGTCAGATGATAAGAATTCATGCCCAGAAGGGTCTGTGTAGCAACTTAAGTTAATACAGAGATGTAATGGGAGACCTGTTTTGTCTTATTTTCTTTTATATGAAGGTACTCTTCTATTTGAAGGTCTGCAGTGTTTTTCAGACACTTCTGCACCAGGCAGATGTTTGTACCTGCACCTTTTAGGTGCAAAAGATGGAGTTTTGGTTCTGAAGACCCCACTGATACATGAACACCACGACTGCATATTTAAAAAGTCTGCAGTTGAACTCAACCCTAAAAATGGGAAGTAAAAAGAGTTTATTATGCAAAGTCATGATTCCTAACTCCTAAATAATTGGAGTCAGGACTTGCACACACGCTTGCAGTGATTGCCTTTCTGTAATTTCAATTGCAATTCATCGAAAGCCAGTTCAGATTTGGGTGTCTTCCAGCAATGGTTCACCCAAGTAGAAAAACTGTCTGGTTGTTGTTAAACTGTTCTGCTGTATTTTGAATATGGCTTTCAACAGTGCATTGCTTTCAGCTGCTGCTCTGTGTGTGAGGCTTGTTCTTGTTGCTGGTAAATGTGCCTGCTATTATCCATTAGCCATGGTCACAGGAGAAAGATGTACTATTGTTTTCTTACCAGGAAAACTGAAAAAGGACATCTTGAAGAGTGGTTTATGCTGTGAAGGAAGTACACAATTATTCCTTTTATTTTTTTTATTTCAAAATTTCCTGAAAGAATGACCCAAAAAAAACACTGAAACAGAAAAGATTCAGCATATCATGACACCTAGTCAGGAGCTCTGTGTGTGTCCCCTTCCAGCAGGGATCACAGGTTATAATCACTTTTCTTGATAAGCTAATTTTTAAGAAAAAATTTTGAATCCCTTCTCATATACATTAAACCAACAAACATTTGTTTGTGATGGTGGAAGTCAAAACAGATTTCTTATCCAAAAATCCTTTCTCGGTTTTCTGTAAATGTTCTGGCATAACACATCTGAAATGGCTTGTCTATTTTCAGTGATTTTCAGTAGCAGTTTAGTGACTGCCCCTCCAGTGTAGCATCTTTTGGGAACAGAATCTGCTATGCAAATCACAAAATGGGGGGCCACCTCTCCTGTCAGCCATTGCTTGTTCAGCTGCAAATTCTGAAGACACTTTGAACAGGAGTAAGCCAAGGCCAAGTAACAAATTAATACTGTAAGAAAAACAGATAAACTTCAGAGCATTCATTTCTTCTTTATCCCTTCTGAGTAAGCATTTAGATACTGATATTGATTTTTCCTTTAATAAAATTGCTGCTTGCAGGAAGTCAGGCATGAAAATATAAGATTGTAAGTCTTTCAGGATAGGAATGCCTGGATTTAGTCTGTGAAGTCCTCATATTTTCCCTTTCTACATTTTGAATGCAAACCCAGAGAATTTGTGGCTGCCCCTGGATCCCTGGGAATGTCCAAGGCCAGGTTGGACAGTGGGGCTTGGAGCAGCCTGGGATAGTGCAGGGAGTGGCTCTGGATGGGCTTTCAGGTCCCTTCCAGCCCCAAACACAATGAGTCTATGAAGAAAAGCAGGGAAAGAGGTGATGAGAACTGCACCAAGTGACTGCTCGGGCATGCAGGACTTGGGCAGTACTTGTGCACAGCAGTGCCTGTGGAGGTGCTAGGGGTGCTGTTACTGTGCATCACATCTGATCTGGAGCACACCACTCCAGGAGATGGGCTTGAGGTTACCAGCCACACTCTGTCCAAAGGTTAAATACATTTGTTGAAGGCTTGTTCTCAACTGGGAACGTTGACAGCAGCTGTGTGTTGAGAAAATTTTCAGATCTTCCCAGTCTTAAATTGAAAAGTAAAAAATAGTTTCAGTTACACAAATTTTGTTTTAGCTATCTCAAAAACAGAAAAGTAATTGGAGCTTTATTTATGCTCGTTATTTATAGAAAAACTCAACTCAGACTTTGGCTGCTTGCTCAGCTTTCTGAAGGACCTGCTTAAAGAGTTTGAGGAATCATATGGTCTAAAATTTTACACTGCCCTTGAGAGAAAGTCCTTTGTATTAGGTTGTGAATACTTAATATTATTATGATACAATTGCATAAATTGAAATAATAAGCAGCTCTCTGTGTCCCAGAGGAATGTGTTCTTTATTTTTCCCTTGGAACACTGATAACTTCTTTGCTACAGCCTCACGAAGTGCATATACAGACAGATAAGCATGTGCTCTCACAATGTTTACCCATAAGTCTGTATGTTTTTATTGACATGGAATGCTAGGAAAAGTATAAATTGCTGTAGAACTGGAAAAGTATTTTCAGTGAATAAAACAGATGTTATCTTAGCATGAAACAGATGTAAAACTCACTAGTGTTTGTCTCATAAAGTATAGCATTTGGTTGAATACAGCTGGTGCCAGGATTACAAATTAATCATGTTTGAATGCATTTTTGCTAATTAGATCCCCCTCTGTGACTCCTCTCTCCCCCTTAATAAATTCCAAATGTTAGCATTCCCTTTTTGTTTTCTTATGAGCCTTTAAGAGTCAGCCACTTTTATGGTATTAGAAAACTTTTCAGTAGTAATGAATTTGAAACTAGAGCTTGTTTAAAATCCAGCACTCTCATTTTGCTAGGTGTGTGGCTTTTGGTTTGATGATGATTTCTATGTCACAGGGCAGCTGTGAGAGTTTAATTGTGAACTTAGATTGAATCACTTGTGGTTTTATCTATTGACTTTTCTCAGACCGGAACTAATATTGGTTTGTCAGCAATTGACTTCAATAAAACACATCCTTTGAGATAAGAACCTGTACTGGGCAGCAGAGAAGAACATGATTTTTTTGTCAGGCTTTATGTTAGCTGTGAAATAGAATTGATTCTGCTCCAGCATAAGAGCTGGGACTCTATGAGAAAGTTGAAAGTCTTAGGGTTCTGTGCAAGGTTATATTAACAAGATTTGCATTCATAAAAGTCTCTGAAAAAGTAATATTTTGTTATTTCAGTAACATTCTTTTGTACAGAAAGATGAATTCATAAGGTTATTTTTCTAAATCACACAAATTTTGTAGTGACTTGCATATACCACATACAGGAATTTCACTGCATTTTCAAATCTCAGTATAAACTTTTTCTAACTGGGTAGAGACCTTTTCTAACTTACTGCTTAGGAGATACATTTGCTGGGATGTTATTATACAAATTACTGAAAAGATCACTAATAATAGAACAAATCTGTTTAAGACAGTTGTTAGTTCTCATCATATTGGTTGTGCATGCCATCTTTGTTTTAATGTGGTTGCCCAAAGCTGTGGATTTGTTAAATTTCATTAGGTCTTCACAACTAATGAGGTAACAAAAGGAAATGCATTCCAAAGCAAAAAGCTTTCAGATCTTACTAGACCCCATCTGCTGCAATATTAGCCAAGGAAAAAGCATAGTTTGAAATGTACCTGATTTGAAGTGTACCTAGTTTAAATAATTTGAACGTTTTTAATTAGAAATAAGTTCACCAGCCCTAAAGCCCAGTAAAGAGTCCCTTTTCCTTTCACCTGTAGTTTAAGAATGGGAGTGATGCCAGCTGGCTTCCTGCAAGAAGCAGTGTTGAACAAGTGGGCAGCAGCATCCCCTGCCAGCTGAAATATCCCTGACATCATGGTGCAGCCCCCTCGTAGCACACTGAATTAATGGAGCCGTGAGCTGGCAGAGCCATGGAACACAATGGGATAACTGCACCTGGAAGAAAAGGTTAAATGCACAAAGCGGGGAAATGCAGCTTTACAGTCCAGCTGTGGGCCACTGTGCCAATCTGAGCTTGTCATATTGCAAAAAAATAGCGAAATGCCCAAAATGTCTCCATGCAGCAGCTCAGAATCACAAAAAGCTTGTGCATTTCCCCAGTTAAAAGAGTCATTTACACCCCAGCCGTTTGCCTCTCTAAGTTGTCCATGTACGTTTCCCTTTGGTTGAACTAAGTTCTTAGAATATGAAACCAGAGGACTGAAACCTCTCTGGAGCTCTCTGGTGCTGCAGGAATTGGAGCTGAAGGCAGCTCTGGATGATGGTGAAGAGCAAATGGAAAGTGAATTTACTGTTAAACTTCACTTGCAGGAGGTTGAAAGAGAAATTTCATTCAGAACCGAGTGTGAACTTTATTATTCCTACTACAAACAGATGATTCAGGCTGCTTCCATTCAGCAAGGTATTGTAAACTGTAAAGTAAGTTTTGCAGCTGACTATTTGTAGGTTTGGTTGGGTTTTTTTTTCCAAATATAATTGACAACAAGGCATACCATAACTATGAAAGATAGTGTAACAGTTGTACTGGAGACAGATTTATTCTGTTCCTATGCCAGGGAGCCACTAAGTTATGGACATAATAAATTTCACAATGATGCATTGATTTCTGTGCCACACCTTCACATGCTAATGAGGGCAATCACTTTGAGGGACAACTGTCATATCTATTCAGGTTTCAGCTTGCTGGTTTATTCAGTTTATTACTTTCATTTTTATTATTCTCTTGTTTAATTTGAGGTATGAGCTATTGCTGGGAAGGGGCAATGTTTTTTGCTGTGTTCCTGGACAGTAAGTGACACAAGGAACAGCTTCCACTAAATCATGTACAGTGATGGGGCTTTCTCAGACAGTCTCATGTTTTCTAGATATTTAGCTGTTGCTCCTTAGTAATTTTGCTTATATTACACATTTTTCAATAATAACTTCACCTGTGATTAAAGTAGTGCCAAGAACAGTTCTCAGGATCCAGAATGTACCACAGATTCTATGCTGGGGATGGAAGTATAAAAATAAATGTTTTATACACTACTAAATATATAGTACTTGAATTAGCACTGTGAGTCACATTTGAAGCAGGGAAGCTGAAGACCTCAGAAGGTCATGTTGATTCAGAGGTAATGTGTTCTGAATCATTGACTCAGAGTTTGCAGTTTCTGATGAGAGATCCTAAAATACCTTTGAAAAAGTTATTCACTGTTCAAATGAAGATGGAGGGGGAAAATGACAATCTCCTATTTCAATTTCTCTTTATCATTAAGGTTTACATGGTTTAGTATATGACAATAAAACTGAATCTGTGAGGACAATTAACATACTTGAAAGAATGAATGTTTACCAGGAGGTGTTTCTCAGCATTCTGTATAGGATTCTTCCAATTCAGGTAGGCATTTATTTATGGCTTTAGATTGTAAGTGCATTATGAAGATTGCGCAGTGAATCATAGCTCCCCTTTGTAGATATTTTCTAATTAGAAACATTCCTGATACCTTTTTAATTTGTAAAAGCAAAACCTAATTCATGCTAAGTATAATCCCCCCTGTGAGTGTTTTAATATCAACATCAGTATTCTTGTGTTTTACAGCAATACCTAGAGCCTGTTTATTTTTATATCTACACTTTGTTTGGACTTCAGGCAGTTTATGTCATTGCTCTGTATGTAACAAGCTGGCTTCTTAGTGGAACATGGCTTTCAGGGTTGTTGGCAGCTTGCTGGTATATTACAAACAGGTAAGTGAAATGAAACATTTAATATTTCTAAAATTTTACCTAGTTTCAAAGGTAAGGCATTAAAGCTTTAACTGCGTGATTAATTGGACAAAACATGAAACTCTAAGGCCTCTCTCCAACTAGCCAGAAAGTGGAAAGAATGTTTAAATAACAAAAAATAATTAGAAAATAATCAGAAATGAGCTGACATATCAGACTGGGTTTTAAAGGTTCTGGAAGTTTGAGTAGAAAATTTTGTCTTAAAGTGGTCTCTGTAAGTGGACTACATCTTTCAGATGTGTCTGGAGCTCCAGGTGATGTACCCTGTCTTCTCCAGCCTAGGATCTCTCAGGTGTTAAGGACATCTGCCTAAAAGCCCTTCAGGTGTCTCCTCACTGCCTCCAGGGGTTCCTTCCACAGCCTCAGCTCAAGTTCAGCTCCTCTCTCCCCTTATTCCTGTAGCCACCTCCTGCTCTAAGCCTCAGAGAAGAAGCATGCTAATTGAGCTGTTCCAGTGCTTCATCACTCGAGGAGTTATCAGTTTGGAGATAAAAACCTAAGAACTGGCTTTATGCCAGAATTAAGCTGCTGGCATGAAGCTAAGACTGGTGACATTGGCTGTTACCTGTAAATTACTCAAGAAAATAAAAGTGCAGTCTTGGTTCTACCAGAAATGTTTGATATGTTAATAAGCAGCTCTAAAGGAATTTATCTGCAAGCAAATTCACTACAGAATAATTACAGGTGTATGGAGGCAAGATGTTTCTTTCTCCAAATATAAAAGTAATTAAAAGCCATATGCAATGTACAGTATTTCACACGTTTCTTTCATGAGGTCATCTCTTCCATTTACAGAGTATCTGCAGCAAATTTGTCCCTCTTTCTAATAATTGGTGAACAGTGAGAGCTTGTTTACTTTATACAATATAATAAGTGCATAGAATTGATTTGGATAAAGATTTTCTGTCCAGATTAATTACATCTGAGGCTACTGAGTAATTCCATTTAGACACGTTCTTCCTCCAGCTGAGCATGTCTCAGATATGTTTCTTACTTGCTGTTTTAGCAAATATTTTCTCTACACTGGGAGAAAAAGAATTATTCTTTGTTTTTAACTTTTAAACCAGGTTTTTCAAATGACCGTTCTTTGGGGAATTCTTCCATCACATACTTCTTATGTACAAAAGCTTCAAATCAAGACCAAAAGCTCATAAGCAATTAAACTGTCTTCATGGTCAAGTCATTGGGATCACAGTGAAAATTATATTCTGCTTATATTCTTACATGTGCATTTGCAAACCATAAAATGAAGTAACATGACCCATGGTGTGGAAATCCACAAGTTGGATTTTGCAAGTGCTTTTCTGAATTACCCAAGCTGGGCTTCAGAAGTAAGATGTAATCCATAGTATAGTTTTTTTACAGTTAGTGAAGCTGAAGTACATCATTTGAGATGCAGAAACAATGGATAACTTGCAGAACCTTCGTAGTGATTTACTTTCAGAGCCAGCTGTGTTGAAGGAACTGGAGTGTAGAGCCTCCATTTTTATAAATAAGGAGTTAAAGTAGCACAAAGATGCCTGTCATTGCAAGCTGTCTGTCACCAAGTGTTTGCTTGATTTTAAATTTATGAAACTCTCTGTTTTGTACAGAGTAGATACTACAAGGGTAGAATTCACCATTCCTTTAAGGGAGAACTGGGCACTGCCATTCTTTGCTGTTCAGATAGCAGCCATCACATACCTACTCAGAACTCATTTACAGCCTGCTCAAGAAGTGAGTATTTCTGACAAGTATGACCCAATAGACTCAGTAACAGAGCACTGTCCTGATCTGCAAGAATTAAAGCAAATGGGTGATCCAGTTTCTTTGACCAACAGTTCTTGAGTTACCACTCCTCATTTTGATAAGTAACTGCTATTTATGCCACAGTAAAACAGGTATTGCATTTTAATCTGGGGTCTGAAACTATCCAAGATCTCACAGTTTTCTTGAAGATGCTATTACAGTGATAAAACACAGGCATAAGTCAAGAATTTGTAACTCTAATATAATGTTTGTTATCCTCTAAGCTGTTATTGCAGTTAGAAAATTCAGTATTTTAAAAGTGGTATAAAATAAAACCAGATTAAGGTGGGCTTTGGCTTGGTTTGTTGGGGTTTCATTTTGCTTGATCTTTTGTGTTTTAATGAAGAAAACTATAAAAGAAAACTTTGTTCCCTCCTTGCAGAGGCTCACACTCATGGCAGTATTCATAGCAACGTTTCTCTTTAGCCTGACTTGGCAATTTAACCAGTTTATGATGCTGATACAAGCATTGGCATTGTTCATACTGGACTGCTTGGACATGCTTCCCACAGCAAAGGTAACTTTTCTTTGGAAAGAACCTACTTTTGTTTCTTTGCCTTCACAAAGCCAACAGTTTAGGAGGTGTTTTCCTAACCAGTGGCCTGGATGCCCAGAGTAATAGAGACTGTGCTGTGTGCCTTGTGCTTTGAAGTAATCACAGTGTGTAAACCCTGCAAATGTAAAAGTGAATGATGGAAACAACCAATTTCTGTTTTTTTTTTTCACTTGAACCTAGTTCATTTCTATTTATGAAGTAATCACAGTGTGTAAACCCTGCAAATGTAAAAGTGAATGATGGAAACAACACCATTTCTGGTTTTTGTTCACTTGAACCTAGTTCATTTCTATTTCATTTTTGTCTGCTTTTGTTTAGACACTATTTGACACTTCCAAACACCATCCTAACAGTTGATCTGATACCACAGCTTTAGCATGGCCTCTCAAAGTCGCCAGAAGAAAAAAGTACCGCAGGAAATCTTTGTGTAAGCTGAAGTCAAAGCAGTGTATGAATTTTGCCTCAAGCATTCTGCATCCTCGTTTGCCAGTCAGGGCCAAGCTCAGTACACAGGAGGAGGGTGCAGAACACCAGGTTGCTGGGGAGAAGCAGTTGTCTTGCCTGCATTGACATTCACCACGAAATAACAGCATTGCCCCTGCTGTGTTGCTGAGCTGGATAAGCCAGAAAATAAAACAAGTCTTACTAAGAAGGTCAGGGATCATTGACAGTCAGTCTTTCAAAATAGAAATGTACTGTAGAAGATGAAAGAACTGTCTTTGACATGAACATTGCTGTGAAATTCTACCAAGATCATTTTAGGCATGCTGAAAGCTTGCACTGGTTGAGAAAGGTTCTAACTTTAGGAAAGGTTACAGGAGAATGAAGAGTAATTAATGTAAATTCATTTTAAATTTGAAGCAGACTTGAACTTTACTGATTGTATTAATTTAACTGAAGATGAGTATGGTGCCTGCATATCAAGCTAAATGTGGCTTACTTAAGTTTTTGAACTCTTCATTATATCAGCAGTTGCAAGCTGAAGTCAACATTTAATGTGACTGGTCAGCTGCCTTAAAAGTCAGCAAATTACAGCTTCATCCTGAGTTATTCCAAAACAGACTCACCACACCGCCGTGTCTGTACTCATTTTCAAAAAAGCATACTTAGAACTCTTGGAGCTTGTGGGGCTCTTTGATACTGATTTATACCACTGCTGTTATACAAGACTGAACTTGGGACTTATGTGTGAGGTAAAATGTATATTTTGGTACCACTGTGTCAGAAAATCAGCTGGGGTTTAGTGCTTACAGTGGGCTGAACACAGATAATAGTTTAGCATAACCCAAAAGGGATTATACTGAACCATTACTGAAAAGTTTGAGAAGGTAGGTGATGTTTGTTTGCTGAACTGCACTGAGCCATAACTCTTTAGTCATAAAGACATCACAGAGGCTACAGAAACACTTCTTGGACTAAAGAAAATAAAAGCCTCTTCCAAATATTAAGTAATTAATATTTTCCTCACACTGCAGTTATAATCAGGTATAATCAGCAGTTAATCTGCTGATTATAGGATCAGGCTTCCTTAAGTATAAAATGGGCATAAAATATTACCCTGAGTAGTTCAGGAAATAAATATAAAAAGAATACAGTAATGGCTTTAAATGTAATTATTTACTGCAAGGTGATACATTATTTGCAAAAATAATTGATGTTGAAATAAATTGCAAAGCATATTCAGAGAAAAGCACCTATGACTGTAAAATTTTGTAGGCATAAAAATCTCCTTATTGTTACAGGTTACATGGCTCTATATCATTCAGATTTCTGGGCTACTGCTGGTCTGTGTCCTACAGTTCTTCAATTCTATGATTCTTGGGTCATTACTTATAAGTTTTAATGTTTCTGTCTTAATAGCAAGAACAATCCAGGTAGGTACCAAAATATTTTTGTAGTACTAAATAAAGAGTATTTATATATGTGTGTGTGTGTGAGTGAGTAATTTAGATGCATTATAATTTTCATTTAGCAATAGTAATTAGAGGAATTACTATAGCATGCAGCAACCCAAACATTGCCTGATCAAATAATGAATTCCATTACATTAACTGCAGCTTAACCAAGCACATCAGACATCATAATTCCATGATTGCTATTAACATTAATGACTGTGCAAGCTGCAGTTTGGATCCTGAAAAAAAAATTGCATAAATGGACTTTACACCTGTTTCAACAGGACTTGGCTTGAATTTGTGGATCTGCCTCCAACAAAATAATCTGAAACAACTAGGACAGCTAGGCTCCTGTCAAGTTCAGCTTCTGGAAATCCATTGTCTGTTCCCAAGATTAGGGTTTTTTTACTGTGGTTATGGTTCTTTTTTTTCTGATTCTGGCATTGGTGATAGCCTCTGACCACAATAAAGGAGTTTATAGGGCCATTCCTATTGTCTGCATCTATTTCCCAGTTGCCTGTGAGCACCTTATCTGGATCTGGATCTTGTAACTGGAAAATTGCTCAAAATTCTAACAAGTGACAGAGCCACAAGATCCCTTTGCCATGTTTGGTGGAAGGTGTAATGATTGGGTATTTAAAAAGGCACACAAGACTGGAAATTAGGGGCTAAGTTCTGTAAGTACACTAGGGCTGCTGCCAAAGAAAGGCTGTTTGGCTGCTTCCAAAACTCTGCCAGATCAAAGCTTTCATGACCTTGTCCCTTCAGTTTTGTGCAAGAAGTAAATCTTTATTCTGGGTATTTGCTTCTATCTGTTTTTGCTTAAATGACCCTAATGAAGAATTGGTGCTGCTCAGGGCTAGCAGATGAGCTGTTTCAAATAGCCTGTGATGCTTTTGTTCCAAATACATTAAAATAAAAAAATGACTGAAATATTAATATTTTCTTCTTTGTAGAAAAACCTAAAAAAGGGTGGCTTGCTTAATAGGCTTGGGAAACTTATCCTCCATGTTCTACTAGTTTTGTGCTTGACTCTCCTCATAAATAAATTCATTAAGGTAGGCAAATAATTTTTAATATCAAAAATTACGCATTGCATTATGTTAAAAGCTATTTGTTAACCATCTACAGGAATGTCATTAAACAAAAACTGCAGTGAGATTTTTCTGCATCTCAGAAACTGCATTTTAGAAATTAAATATAGTTTTGCTAATCTTTGATATATGGATTTGAAAACTTCATAAATTACCACCAAATAATTTGTGTTAACTTGAAGCTCACCTGTAATTTTGTCAGTTGTAGATCTGTACTGTTGAACATTTGCAAAGTGTATCACTGAATTTTCTTTTCAATTAATGCAGTTAAAACTGAATGGTTCTTTGATTGCAAAGCACCCATCTTAGTAAGCCTGTGTTGCTTTACAGTTTCACTTAAATGAAAAAAAATCTATTTACTGTGAAATATTTTTGATATTTAAAATGTAATTTCCTGTCTCTTCCTCCCTTTGTAGAAAATTCTTAATCTTGAGTCAGATGAGCATATATTCAAATTCCTGAAAGCAAAATTTGGATTTGGAGCAACAAGGTATGCTTCAGCTGCAGTTTTGCTTTTTTGTTTGACTTCTTTAATTGAAGCCTTCAGGTTGTTCCTATTTCAAATGTGTGCAATAAATCACAGTTTTACCTCATGTTTATGTCATACTTGCCCTAAGAATAATCTGCACAAATGCAGAAAGAAAGAAAGGAAACTTTGATCCTTTTTGACATCAAGTCATGAAATACATGATTGACAAAGATGTTTATTTTTTTTTTTAGAGATTTTGATGCTAACCTGTATCTTTGTGAAGAAGCCTTTGGTTTGCTACCTTTAAATACTTTCTCAAGACTCTCCAGTACATTACTTTTTTACATCTATGGATTTGTTCTCATCCTTCTGACAGTAGCAGCTGTAATTGTTGCCTTTCGGAACCTCAGGTAAATCCAGTTTTAAGAAAATTCACATTTTTATCAGTTTTCTTTTCTTCAGCTGGCTGAAGAACTGACAGGTGAACACAGCAGCAAATTCAGGATTGCTCTGCACAGCTACTGAGGAGTGGGGTTTATGAGAGAGAAATCAGGCAGAATAAGTAACTTCCTGTTGAATCTAAAAGTGGAACCAAAGGAACATCCTTCCCTGCAGTCAGTTAAGCTCTTTGCTGCTGAAGCTTTGCAGTATGTATAATGTTGGTTGGGTTTTTTTGGGATGTGGGAAATTAAGGGAAGGATGTTTTTATCTAAAACATTGTTTGTTTCTTTAGTTCATCCCATTTCCCCTGTGCAAAGCACTCCAAATCACAGATTTCCCAGGTGTTACCCTCAGACTGCCCAGAAATGAGCTGGAATAATCTGTGCTGAACTTTGTGATCTGTGTGAAGGGGCAGGAGCTGTAACTGTGCATCACTGCTGCCAGTTCCCAGAGCTCATCTGTGGGATTCTGAGGTATCTACAGAACACAGAAGAAAATCTAACAGAAATGTTACTTAAAAAAAAAAAAAAGGTTCATTATAGAGCTCTCTGTTTTACTTGTACAACCTGGGCAAAAGGTGGAAGGGATCGTATAAAACTTGATTAAGCAAAAACTCCAGGAGTGTCACCTGACAGTCAGAGTTTAGGGAAGACTGGATAAAAAGGAGAGCAAGAGAAAGTGACAGTATCCAAGACAATTACATTACATTACAATAGTAATTGTCAAATGTCAATCATCTGTAAATAATTTTGGTAGTATTCAACCAGTCTTTTTAAAAACTTATTGCATCAGTCAATTTTAAAAAGAAAGATTCTGCAGCCTTTATTTTCTACAATCTTAGATGTAATCCCAAACATGTCCCTAATTTTTAATGCATTTATCTCACTTGTCCCCTGCCCTGAAAAATCACAAAAAACCCCACAAATTGAAGCAGCTTCTTTTTTTTTCTTTTTTTTTTTCAAGTGCCCTCCACATATATTCACAAGGCTAGACATCTCAAGCAATAACCACTCCCTTCAGGGCTTATTTTCCCTAGCTCTGCTTCCATTCTGTGGCTTTGGTGACATCCAGACAGACCAGCATAACCCCACAAATCACAGTTAAATTCTTCACTCTCATCAAAAGCCCTCTGAACATGGGAGTAGCTGCTTCCAACAAGAACCAAGCTTGCCTTGCTGTAAAGAATTTTATCTCATTCCAGTCCAGCTCATTTAAACCCCTTGTATTTCCAGAAATCTGCACATGAAAAGAAATACCTGATGCTGCATCAAGTTGGTGGCATCAGGCTGAATTAGATCATAGAGACAACAGAGGGTTGTGGGGTCATAGCAGTGGTTGTTGTTTCTGGTCCCAGAAAGATTCTGTGCTTTTTAAAATGCAGATAATTATTTGAAATATGTTACAGAACTTCACATAACACTTTTTTTTTCTTCAATTAGTGGTTCAAATCAAGTCCGTTTTAAGGACAAAATGGAAGAATATACAGTGACACTGAAGCCTGATGCTGCCTACAGCTTAGCTCACACAGTTCTTTTTGGATGTCTGGCGTTAAGCACAATGAGGTATATTTTCTTGTTTCTAAGGGCTTGTTCAGATGATTGAGTATATATTTATAAAAGTGTAAAATATGTTGACCACAAACTGATAGCATCGTGAACATTCTTTCTTTCCCTGGTATGTTTCTACTTGTAGACTGAGGCATTTCCCAAAGTTCTGCCAGAAAGAATGGAACTTTGGGAACAGAGATGTTCTCAAGAGTGCATAGCAAAGTGCAGAGTCAGTCCTGTACTCAGTTATTTCAGAGGCATGAAAGTCCAAGGAAACTGTGTTCAGAATTTCTCTAGACACTAACTGCTGTCACAAGCAGCTTTGCAGAGCTCCAAATGATCATGAAAAGCTTGTGTTCTTCCAGGATGAAGTACCTCTGGACATCCCACATGTGTGTTTTTGCATCCTTTGGCCTGTGCAGTACAGAGGTTTGGAAACTCATCCTGAAGTGTCTCCATCTCTACACATCCCAGAGGGTGAGCACTGTGTCACAGCCTTTCATCCACTGGGCTTTGGGCTGCATCTGAACCAAGTCAAGGCTCAGGGCTGAATATTGCTTGTAGTTCTCTCAAACCAGCTATCTCTGCGGGATGTTTGTATAAATTTTGTAAGTAAAATGGATTTTCTGCTGATTTCTGTATTAAACAATTCCACTGGAATACACTAGATGGCAATATAGATGTGGCTATGAAAAATAACCTTATTTTTACTAAAAAAGTCTCCATATTAAAAAATCATCAGCAGTCTGAAAAGACCTTTGCAGTCAATTACAGTGAGTGACAGTGTTTTCCACCTTGTAGAATATAGATTTAAAGATATAAATCCATCTTTTGTGATGGGTCTGTAGTTAGGGTTTTACTTGAAAATAAAATCAGAATATGGGCTTAAAATTCAATCACTTTAATTCCACTACATGTTAAATATTTCAGATATCAATACATTAAAAATTAAGTCTATTAAATGTATCATCAAAATAACCAATTATTTTTTCAATTTCTCATAGACACAGGTGATTAAATATTCTATACCAATAATTACATTACTGTACATCTCATTTAAGGTAAGAAATTTTTTCTCAATGCTTTGGCATATTTTAGTTGCATGAAATTTTTCCTTTCTCCTAGAATGGTTGTCTTATTAGTAACTACATACAAGAATTGTAACTGAATTTTAAAAATAAGGATAGCTGTGCCTGTGGAATTGTCTGTGAAAGATCAGTTGGGCTTATTTGATCCAAAGTAATTATTCATAGATACAAATGTTTATCTGATTGTAGTGTAAGTAGCAGGTGCTATTTAAATGCATAATTTTATGGAAATGGGAGTTGTCTCTTTTGGTTTTAACTAAGTTGTGGATAAAATGGAGATTGTCACATTGTGTCATGATTTCTTGTAGGAGCAGAAATAATCATAATCTCTACTGCTGTGCCTCATCTCATGTGTTTTAAAGTTTGGAATTATTAAATGGTTTGTCTTCTGTCTGTTCCAGAAACAGAATATTACTATTGTCAAACACTTAAATGTAAATGCATGAAGCATACCTAAATCAATAACATGTACAAGATTATCAGTCTGTCATAGCAGTGAGATTTAGAACACTGATTTAATGGGCAAACCATTCTTTTAATCTGTAGTCATAAAGACAAAAAATTCACAGTCTGCTTTGGTGGAGAAGTTGTTTCTGCAGTAACTAGTCTGAGATCAAAATGCATCTCTTGTTCAGAAAAACACAAGATTAATTTCATTGTTACAGTTCAAAAGGCAGTAGTGAAGCAGTTAAGAAAGCTGCTAATAGAGTTCATTCCAGTATTGTGTTCCCCCCTCTAAAACTGAAACAAAAAGTAAAAAAATACTGTTTTCCACTTAAATTGTTTTATTGTTCTCTTTGAAGACTTTTTGTCCACTGATGTGACAGTTAGGAAGTCATTAGCTATTTTCATCATCTCTGAATATGACAGAAACAATGCCATTTCTTCTGACATGGGGCATACTAGGAGCATGACATTCTGATAGTCTAATGTGACAGATCACTAGGAATTATTTTCCTCCCACTCTTCGTGAGCAAATGTAAAGTTCCTAAATTCTGTCAGATTCAATTCTGAAGTCAGCAGAAACACTGATTTCATGGGCTGTAGAGCAGTCATTAGTTGTGCTCAGTCTGCCTGAAAAGCATAATTTTCGTGTTTCTTCTAAATAGAGGAAATAATTTTTATTGACATTGAAAATACTATTTTTCAAATTTCTCAGTGGGAAAGAGAAATGTGTCACCTCTCAGTTGTTTTTGTCCTGAGTCACTTCTTGCAGTTGAGCTACCAGAAGAGTGGATCTCTCTGTGGGTCTGTTCTGCAAAGCTGAAGGAGTTGATGAGAAGCCTGAGGGAATCACAAAATATTCTGAGCTGGAAGGGTCCCACAAGGCTCCTGTCCCAGGTGCCCTGGCAGTGATCAGACAGGAATTCTTACAGAGAGATCCAGAAAGGACCCATCACTTCTGTGAGAATGTGGTTTTATATTCTCTCTCTAAAACCTTACAAAGAGACAGTGGAAGGAGATTTTTGGAACAGAGATATACTTATCTTTCTCTTTTCCAGACAAGAATTTCTCTGTTCAGTCACTGCTCAGATGGCAGGGGCAGTTTCTCTGTACACCACAAAGTTAACTGGCCATCAGGGCTGGTTCTCTTGAATTTGCAGGAGGGCAGTTTGGTGTTTCATTATCTGTTACATTTGTCAGAACTATTCTTCAGTGCAGTTCCTCAAAATAGAACTTTTATGGGATTATTAACCTAATCCTGAATAAGCCAATGAAAGCCTCTTTTGAGGCATGTGGTTACTACAGCTCCAAATACATCACTTAAACAATAATTTTATGAGGTGCAGATGCAGCTACAATGGTGGCTTTCTTTCAGATTTCAGGATGTTTGAGACCTGTAAGACATCTGTATTTCTGTTTACATGTGATTTTCATTATTACAGTGCAAACATCTTTCACATAAAGTGAAAATGCTGAAGTATTTCCAGACATCTGTATTTCTGTTTACATGTGATTTTCATTATTACAGTGCAAACATCTATTGCCTACTTTAGCTGTGCTGCAGATTACACATGCAGAAAGCAGTACCAAGTAGTATTTATGTTTCACTTCTTAAACTTCTCAGGTAGATTTCACCTTTATCTTTTATTTTCATTTTATTTTAACTTCACAATAATGCTCCTCAGTTTGTGTTTGCATGTCAGTAATCTTTGAATAAATTATTGGTACTTAAGGTGAGATCCTGAGCTTGAGCATTCTCATTCCAAGGATTGCCAAATAATCTTGATTTCTCTCTAAGAGTAAACTCTGTATTCCTATTACTTCTGCAGCTGCATTTTTATCTTCATCATGGCCAAGTCCTTTTGCTCCAAACATGGACATTATTACAGCACATATTGCACCATATACCCACAATCTGAGCAGTCTTTGGCTGTATGAACAGCTTCAGTTCAGGGCTAACTTAAGCCACTTGACAAGCAGTTTCTTTTCCTGAAGACTTTGACCCCAGAGACAAGCACTGTTACAAGCTGGAAACCTCTTTCACATTTTCCTCTCTCTTCTGAGCAGTTTGTTACATCCCTTATGCGCTCCATCTGTTCTTTTTATCCTCTCCTGGTGTCACCAGACTTTTTCTCAATCTGACATATACTTGATTTATAAAAACAAAGTTCTTTCAGTGTTATTGGTCCATATTTTCATATGCTTTACTTTTTATTTGTCATTTTCTTGTATTTGGAACTCCTGAAGTACCTTAGTTTTCTCTTGGTTCTACTAATCAGGTGTAGTGCTACCTGGAAATTTTTCAGTTCACTAATAACAAGCCCCATGACCAAAATTTTCCTCCGGTAGAAATTGCCTGTACTCACTGAAAACTTGCAGTACTGGGACCTAAAAAACCTTTACAGAGTGAGTGCCATGGAATAGCCCCAGCAGTGAGCAGGGAGCTGTAGCACTGGTGGAACAGCCACTGATTCCTCAGGAGGTTACAGGGCAGGGTGCACTGACTGAAAAGCAAAGCAGAACCCATTCCTTCTGTCTCCACCCTGAAGGACTCCAAGCTCTCAGAATGTGTAGCTATTCCAGGCATTTTAGTAATGAAGAGAGGAAATTTTGCTTCATGATGAGACTCCACAATCTCCTTTCACAACAGCTGAATTTACTCATCTCTGGGAGAGCTTCTGAAGAGCAGAAATACATCTGCTGTACTGTTGTACTTCCCAAAGCTTCCCCACGGTTGGGATGCTGCCATGGCTCCACCTGGGAGGTGCCAGGAGTACTTGAACAAGTGTTTTAAGTAAGCAGGTACACTAGTGAGAATCTTAACTGGCCCAGTTATACCTCCTGCCCCAAGCCCCATGTAATTACAGTTTTAATGAAGGAATGCCTGTGTTTGCTAAGGGGCTCAGCAGCACCACATTCAAATTCCCTCTGAACTCTTGGATGAGCATTAAAATGGGATGATTAATGGCCTTTTAGATTATCAGGTGGGTTTCCTTAGACTTTCTCCTGTAGCATTTCCATTTTCAAACCAGCAGTCCTTATCTAAAGAAAGCAGGTTTGGAATAGGTTTCACCATAACATTCTCTGTAGTAAAGACTGATGCACAGCAATCTGTCATTAGCATTGTCATTATCTTCCTTAATTGCTCCCTTCTGCCCTGGAATATTCCCTGGCTTAAACAATAAACCTTTAAATAAATCATTGTTCCCTTAGCTTTTTGGACAGGAGGGTTAAGCTTTTCAGAATCAGTTTCCATCCTTCTTTCTCTCCTCTGGATTTGATTTATGTATTCTTTGTATATAGTAAATTTTTAAAAGCTTTCCCCTGATGGCCTATTAGTTGTTGTCATTTAGTCACAGTTTTATTTTTGCCTTCAGTGGTTCTCTTTTAATTCAAATTTCTGAAATACCATTACTAGCATCTTAAGTGCATCTAATAGTCTTTACTTCTGATACAAATTGCCTACCTTTTTAAATTTAGTTTTATATTTCCTTTCCAAACTTAATGTTAATTCCTGGGACCTCTCCTTGTCTTGTCATCATTCACAATGGGCAGGTCTGGTCCTGTTGGTTATCTGGCAGGAGCTGCAGATCTCCAACTCTGAAACTGTGTGTTCATCCTGCAGTGACAGCCACCTCTCCTTCCCAGGAAGAGTAGACAGATACTCTTGAGTCTTGCAATATACCCATGAGCTGGACAAGATTATTAGCCAGCTAAGAGGAAGTAATACATTTCAGCATCCAAAACTTGTTTGGTTCATTCTGTCTTCAGGTTGTTCTATTTTGTTTCCATTTTAGTTCTGGCCAGGAATAATGGATGAACTATCAGAGCTGAGAGAATTCTATGACCCAGACACTGTGGAGCTGATGAACTGGATTAAGTAAGAGGATTTTTTCTCTATTTCAGTTAAATGCTATTTGTGTAGATCTAATGTTCTTAGTTACAGTGTTCTCCTTATTTGTCCCAGCTCAGCAGTGAACTCTGGTGACCCGTGAGGATAGTTAGGGTGAGTGGGTTATCAGGAGGTTGCTGTGAGCAGCTTTGGACAGCAGCTCTGTATCACTGTTCAGTGTCACTGCTGTGTTCCATGTGCATCAGGGAACCAGCTGATCCCTTTGCCCCCATAAGGACACAGTTTTCCCAGCTAAAAGAGGTAAATTTGGAGGTACCAGGCTTCTCTCATCATATTAGAGCTACTCTACATTAATAGACCTCTGCAGTGAAATAATTTTATTCCTCAGCCCCTGCCCCCCCAGCCTAATGTCCTTCTCAACTCTGTAAATGTTAAAAAGCTTGGATGTAGTGCTGGAAAATTCTTACTCTGCAGTCTGTTTGTTGGACTTGAAAACAATCTAGGTTCTTTCTGCTTGTTAGAATTAATCCCAATATGTGTTCCAAACTGCAAGCAAAATATTTTGAATTGAACTTGAACTTGCCACAGCTAAGCATAGGTGCAGTCTTTCAGGGGTGTGAGTTAATCATTCAAACCCCACCTCATCACTGCTGATTTCTCACAGAGCATAGCAAGGTATTTTTTAGGTGGAAACAGTTTGGAATACTTCATGCAGAAGATGCTGAGCAAAAAGGCCAGGTGGGATGTTCTCTGGAGGGCTGTGAACTGAAGGGATATGTTCTCTATTAACATAGAGCAGCCACTAAAAACTTACAGGTTAAGTTTCTGAACAGGGACATTCCTGGGACTTGTATTTATTTGCAACTCCGGCAATGATTTGAAAAAAATAAAATTGGTTTCATGTTATAGAGGAAAACATTCTGAAAGTAAATCTGAATATACAACATTAAATATTGAACTGTTTGAAGTATTTCCTTGGAGTATTTCCTTCATATGCAATGAACTTCAGTGAAACCAGTCACCCAGCCTGTTCTCCCCATAGCAACATATTTACACTCCATAATGTTGTATTTCTTTAATCCATAAACTAGAAGGAGTAATTTAGAAGTGAAATATATTACAAGCCTTCACTGACTTATTCTGAAAGCAGGCCATGATTTTTTCCATCATTTAGAATCTTTGCAGCCTTATTGACATGTTTTTGTGACTAATGTTTACCAGCCAGTTCCATTTAGCACTACTGTTTTATTAAAAGATGGTAAATGTCTGATAGTTCAGGTCTCCTGTGTGCAATATATAGAGTTATATATAGATTTATACATAAAATATGCATGTGAAGTTATTCCCAGCCATGAACTGGATTTGACTGGCTCCAATGAGAATAATTTTTCATGTGTTCTTAGTGCTGAGAATGCTAAACTGGTGCTTGTCATCTCTTCATTCCAAGTCATGACAGACAATTACAGAGGGGCATTTTTTTACTTAGAATTTATTGTATTTAGAAATATTATTCCTGTGAAGAAGAGTTAATTATCTATGCTTTAAATACCAGTCAACAAAATTTATGGTAAGTTTCTCAAAATGGGACAGATTTTGTTAAGTTTGATGTGTAAGAGAACACTTTTACTTTACTAATACTTAATAGTTGTGCTGTAGTTAATGACCTGTCAAGGCTGGTGTCAGGAACTAATCATTCATTATTAAAACTCAGTATGAAAAGCTCTAATTTGTCATGTATAGCAGTGAATTAAGAATAACTCATCTGTCTTGCAATCTCTCCACAACAAGAAAACCCTTCTGTCCGCTTAGCTCTAAATGCATATTAACTTGTCCAGATATACAATCTGAATAATGGCCAACTATTAGTCTGTCCCCTGTGAAGTGTCTGCAGATGCATTTCTTACTCTTCCCCTCACTAAAATTGCCATAGCATTTTCAGGAAGATTAACTGGTTTGTATCTGTACAATTCAGAGCACATTTTTTTACATAATGATCTTGCATATCCCAGTCTTCTGCTGTTTTTCCTACCCACCATCTCATTTTCTTAGCTTTTTTCCAAAAAAAAAGTCAAGAATCCAATGCTCCACAGTTCTGTTCCCAGCTGGGAGGTACATTAAAATTCTTAGTTTTGGTCTTTCTCCCTAAGACAACAGGAACAACATGCTCATTTGTGAGATGGGGAGGAATATCAGTAGAATGAGCAAATCAGTAGCGTGAACTTCCCTACTCTGTTTACTCCTGGTAAGTGCTAAAGAAGCAATGTCTTCTGCCTTTAAAGGGGAAATCTGTCTACAGTTGTGGAATATATCAGAAGCAGTTGCCAAAACTCACAGAAAAAGTTCTTTAAAATCTTGGGCAACAGCCAAAACAATGGAAAAGTTAACTGAGGCTGAGATTCAGCAGAGCATTGTTGGATGTCAGCTGTACCTGAACCAGGTGTAGGGACAAGCAGGCAAATATGTGTGTTAATGCAAACCCCACAAATTTCCAAAAAGCTCCTAAGGTTATGCAAATGAAACACCCATGTTTCATGGTGGTTCTTTCTTTTAGTAATTTATACTAATTTATATTAATGGCTATATTTTAATTTCAAGCCAGCTTTAAAGTTTAACTCTGTTACTTACATTCCTTATTTTCAAGGCTATCACACTGAAATCAACATGTGTTCCAGACTTTAAAGGCAATATATTACATTTTTTTTAAATTATTGTTCTTAAATTCTTGGGCTTTTGTTGGACAGACATGTGAGTAAATTTCAGGCATGAACTTGGGAGTGCCTGAGAAGTAGATTTATACCAGCTGTGTAGGTGCAGTCCTTTATGTGAGCATAATCTGCATGCATAAAATTGAAGCTGGGACTCACAAAAACACATCTTGTTGTTCTTTCTTTGTGACTGTTGTTTTCCATTTTTGCAATTTTTAGTCTTTCCAAGCCAGAGGGAAAAAAAAAGAACCATGACAGTGTGATTGAATGTGCTTTACTGCCTATCTTCTGCAGCTAAATCTGTGATGTTTTAATATTGCATTCTGCAAATAAAAAGATTTTCTTTTAAAGAAAAAGAAAAATCTATCATGGCGTATTCCTCAGAATCTCCTTTTCTCAAATCCTTTCACTTTGTTGATTCATACCATACTCGGGCACTAGTAAAGGAATAATCTGTGACTTGTTAGATTTTATGGCTTTGAAAGTCAACTACAGGGTTCAAGTCTGGAGGACTTCTACTAGAAATAGCCATTTTATTTCTGATGATGTAACCTGTAATTGCAATGTTGGCCATTTCTTCCTTAGTGCTTCTTAAAACCAGCTCACAATAATTCTTTAGTATATTAAGAGAAAGAATTACTACCACTTTCAGAGTCTGTGTAAGTACTTCCTGTAAAACCCTTTTATTTTTAATGAGTTATTCTTTCGTATTTATATAATTCTCTAAATTCTTAAGTGTAAGGTAAAGAAAAGGTTCTTACACTGTAATATAGTGCTTAGTTTACCCATTAGCTCAGCTGTAATTAACTTGTTGAAAGCGTAGAGCTTCAAAAATAAATGAGATTATTTGTTCAAAATGCCATCAGGTCTGCTTGGAATGGCATTTAAATTATATAATGTAAATCAGTTTGACCTGTAAGTCCTTGTCATTATTTAGTGACATTTCCTAGAGAATAAATTGTTTGCAGGTTGGGCAGTGTGGTATGGAGCCTGGCAGAGAGCTATAAAAACAAATTATCCTTTCATTTTATACATCATTTGCTCAGACAGTTGTAAAAATGGCTTGGTTTTAGTGTAATGGAGAAGTGTCATTCAGGGGGTTGCAGCACAGGAGGTGCCCTGGCTGCAGAGCATCCCTGGGATGCAGGAGCCATCCTGGCCCTGGGAATGCTCCTCGGGGCTCCTGTGTCCCCAGAACTCAGCAGTGGCACCCACAAGAGCTCATGGGGAGGGAATTGGAGAGGGCAGACAGTGCTCTGTGTCTCCTCCCACTGTCACCTGCAGTGTCACCTCCCAGCTCTCTGCCCAGGGCACTGAAATCCAGCACTTGTGCTCCTGGCACTGCCAGTGCAGCACAGGGAAACAGGGCTTCCAGTAGCTCCTGCTGGTCTGGCAACATCCGAGCTGGCTAGTGAAACATGGACAGTGATGTGTCTAAGGAGTATCATTTCCTAGGACTTCAAACCTGTAAATCTCAGGGAAACATCTGCTTTTACCTGGAGCACCAGATTTTAAAGTCCACCCCAGACCAAAGCACTTAAAGCAGTTGTTTGAAAAGCAAGAAGGGGTCACTAGATTATTTTCAAGCAATAGGGAGAGTAGAAGTGTGGCAAAACTCTTTCTGTGTGGTAAAGAATGCAACTCAGCTGTATTTCACCCCTTCTGGGCAGGAGTGAATGCTTTTGGAAAGGGGAGGAATGGAGCCCTGAATCTTCTGCAGGGTCCATTTCCTGAGGGGAGATTCACTGAGGGCTGCAGCTCCAATCTCTGCTCCCTGTGACCAGAACAGGGTCAGGCTGGAGATCAGGGAAAGGTTCTGCTTCCCCCGAGGTGCTGGCACTGCCCAGGGATGAGCACCGCCCCGAGGCTGCCAGAGCTGCAGGAGCGTCTGGACAGCGCTGCCAGGGATGCACAGGGGGATTGCTGGGGGTCTGCAGGGACAGGGGCTGGACTGGATGAGCCCTGTGGGTCCTTCCAACTCAGTGTGTTCTGTGATCCTGCATTTTTGACAAGCATTTTTACCAGTAGGTTATTAATAAAGGGCACTATCACATTTAGCTTTCTTTTTAAAGAAAAGAGCCTGCAGGCTGGTTTGGCTTTTTTGTTTGTTTGCTTTTTTCCCTGTGGTTTTGCCTTTGGTACTTGTTGGGAGGGGCTATGTGAGTGGGTTTAAGAAAGTTTGAGTCTGCTACAGAGCCCATTATAATGCAAATCTGCAATCAGAAGAGCAGGGTTGCCTTGGTAAGGCCAGTCAGGTTTTAAAATTTGAACTAATCTTGAACAACCACAGAAACCTACTTGTCACATTAGAAGTTGACTGGCCCTGCCATAAACACAGAAACATGTTGAAGATGCTTTAAGACTCATCATTTTTATTTGGGTGTCTAAGCTCTCCCCAGTCCCCTTGAGAGTCCAGCCCATGTCCTTTGCAGCTTAGTCCTACAGACTTGTGCTTCCCCACAGCTCCAGGGATGAGTCCTGACAGCCTGTCAGGGCTATCCCATTTGCATAGTACTAAATTCTATCAGGAATTAATTTCTTTTAATGGAACATGTACTTCAGGACACTTGTGGCTTTGCATATTTTAAGTAATAAATAATTTCTTAAGAGATTAAATATTTTCAGACTTTAAAATTAAACAGGTTTTATAAAGTGCTGAAGAACTAGTCTATCAGGAAAGTTAAACTGGCCTATTAAAAATACTATCTCTGGCCTTCCTAGATGAGATTAATGTACCAGTACAAGATTTTTTAGGAAGGGTTTGTAATTATTAATTCATTTGCTAAGCATAATCTCTTGAAAGGCGATAATAAAATTTAATACTTGTCTCAACATTTTCAAGCTGATCATGGAGCTTAAAGATGATGACTGAGTGTGTAGCTGCAGTTTCCAAAGGCTCCCTAAAGTGCACCCCAAACTGTCCCAGTTACTGGAGTGCTTTAGTGTGTGCATGGGGGTGTTAGGCACCTATTCCCATTCTAATTTCATTTTAGTTGATTTAATGTGTGCTGCTTTCTGTTGGTTTAGTCTTCACAGACCCTTCCATGGCTATGTGCCTACTAAGCACTAGAAGTCACTTCAGCATACTCTGGCCAGTTCCAATTAGCCTGATTACAGGAGTGTCCATTGCCAGGCATTTTTACTTTTGTTTTTGCTCTGCCCTTCTCTTGTGTCTTTGCAAATATTTTAGATTGTGAACTTGCTGGGAAGAAGGTGAGCACAAATTTTTTTTTTCATTATTGGTACTTGAATGATCTTGAGATATAAGGACTGCTGTTTGGAATTTCAAAGGTTATAGTTCCAATTAGCCTGATTACAGGAGTGTCCATTGCCAGGCATTTTTACTTTTGTTTTTGCTCTGCCCTTCTGTTGTCTCTTTGCAAATATTTTCGATTGTAAACTTGCTGGGAAGAAGGTGAGCAAAAATTTTTTTTTCATTGTTGGTACTTAAGTGATCTTGAGATACTAGGACTGCTATTTGGAATTTCAAAGGTTGCAGTAACAAAAAGTGACAGCATTATTCTGGCATCTTCTACATCCCCCTGCCCCAGCTTTTTGCAGCTGAGATGTCTTTTTTCATAGTTTCTCTCCCACAGTTGTCAGAATAGGAAGAGTAATGTCTCATGGAACAAAGTTTTTGTTCCAAGTGAATGGTGAATGCCAGGACAGGAACTGAAAGTTTTACCATTCAGATTAAATAATTCATTTTATATAAAGTACCTCATATATATCAGACTCAAACCTAAGTCACAATAAGTTCCTTGAAATATTAAAATAATTGGAATATAGAAACCTATAAATATTCATAGGCTTTATGAATCTGAGAAATACGTGAAATATAGAAATAGTCTGAAATTGTCAGGATCATGTTTTCCTTAGATTTCCTCATAGTGCTTAGTAAATCTTTATTTGCAGTTGAGTATTAGCATAATTTATCCACTTGGCATTTGAAGAAAACACAGGTGCTTGAACAGTTTGCTCCCTGAATAGAGAAGCAGAAAAATACTTTTGCAGTCTTTTTTTTCCTTCTGATCTGTCACAAGCATTGAAAAAATGCCCCTGCAGAGACTTCCTCAGACTTATCACCGTTTGTTCAGGTCAAACACTCCAAACACAGCAGTGTTTGCTGGGAGCATGCAGCTGTTGGCAGGAGTCAAACTGTGCACTGGACGCACCTTAACCAACCATCCCCACTATGAGGATAAGAATCTGAGAGAGAGAACAAAGCAGGTAAGAGACTTCAGATTTTTCATAGTAATCCTTGCCCATGTCACTGACTCCACTCCAGCAAACAGTAATGTCCTCATGGCACACTGCAAAAGGCAGCACGTGCTTTACTCATGGATAACTTAGTGTCAGGCACAGGCCCAGGATTTAACTGCTTTGGGATCTCCTGACTCACTTCTGGCAGCTGGTGAGTGTCTGAGCAGCTCTGTGCCTGGGTACCCAGCTAGTCCCAAGGGCACTGTGATGGCTACTGTGGCATCAGTAGATCCTGGCTGTTAAACCCACATGGAACGTTCCCTGATAGTCCCCTCAGTTCCCAGAGCAGCACACAGCATTTGATATAGAAACCATCCTGAGAAACTGCACACAGAGCTGGGAGACTGTTTCACCTGCCCTTCTCTGGACTTGAGACATTCCCAAAGCCTGACAGCACCATCAGTGTTGTGTAGCCAGCAGCATCCATGCTATAATACACATCTCCACATGGAGATTTTCCTGAATAAAGCATTTATAGGTTGTTTCTGTAATATTTAATCACATGGTTTCTCAGTCCCAGTTCTTTGTTTGGCTCAAGATAGAGGGCAGAGCAAAGAAAGCAGCAGTGGGTGGTGTTGTGGAGTGTGTTGGAGCTGAGTTCCCTTGTTGTGCAGATCTACCAGATCTATGCCAAGCGCTCTCCCGGTGACGTGCACGGCATCCTGCGCTCCTTTGGCACGGACTACGTGATCCTGGAGGACAGCATCTGCTACGAGAGGAGGCACAGCCGGGGCTGCCGCCTGCGCGACCTGCTCGATGTAGCCAACGGCCACGTGAGTGTGACAGATCCAGGAACAGAACACATTGCCTTGACTTGCTCTGAAACCCAGTTACTGGGAGCTGAGGTGGCTCAGCGTGTTTGCACTGTGGGAAGGAAAACCTACTGGAGCCTTTAGACATTCTCAAAATGGCCAGATTAATACTGCTAGTGCTTAAGGGTATTTGAGAATAGAAAAGGTGGAATTTCAGCCTGGGCAGGATAAGTAATCGCTTCCTGACCAGCTCCATGTTAGGAGCACAGAAGCAGAGTTCCCTCCCAGGTGTAAATCACTTGAGAGCTTCAGTTCCCCGAGGCCTGGTTCTGATACCACTCTGTGGCAGGGGAGATCTCAGGCACTGCTGGGGCTGAGCTGGAGCCAGAGCAGGCTGCACAAGCCCAGGCAGATATGGACCTCTGACAAAGCAACTTCATCCATTTAGAGACAATATTCTTACTGCTTTAAAGCTGTTTTCTTCCTCCCACTTGTTTCATACTGTGAACAAACCTGGCCAGCCTGACCCAGTGAGTGTATTGTGGAGGTTTTTATGAACTTGTTATTGCCTGGAACTGTGAATTGGCTAAAGAAATTTCACCCATCTGTTCCATTTCATTGCAGATCATGGATGGCTTGGGAGAGAATGAACCTGATTTGAAACCTTCATTGTATCCTCGCTTCTGTGAGGAAATTAAGAAAAACCTTCCTTCTTACACCATGCACTTCACCAGGGTGTTTCAGAACAAAACATTCCACGTTTACAAACTTGCCAAGCATAAATAACATTTCCAACCATGACTTCAAGTTCAGTATTTCACTGCTAGGACCACATTGGGAAATACAGATAAAGTTTACACACAGGTTACATTTGTAAGACATTTTACACCGATGGTTTTTTGTTTGATTACTGTGATTCTTTTTTTAGACAGTTTAATTTTGATAACATTATTGATGTTGCCAAAATTTTCATAAATTCATAAATAAATGCTAGCAGGGACCATTTTGATTTAAGTTCTGACCCTCAGAATACTTAGGTTGTAATTGTTTTCCAGTTTCAGTTGATTGGAAGACAAGGGCAGCAGCCTGTGAATCTGCTCAACAGTTCAGATTTTCCTCTCCAGTTACAGAAATTCAGTGAAAGCAGCCCATGCTGCTCCTGCCCTGAGTAAGCATTGCCTTTGTGAATCCTAAAAATAGCCACAAAATGAAGTTTTGTCTTACAGTCTGATCCTTTTTGACAGATCCTTGTGCTCTTTCAGTGCCTCTCTTTTGAATTTTTTGGGAATGTATGCGAATATGAGTTTCCAATTTTGTGAGTATGATTGCAGAGTCAGTGAGTGCAGATTAAGCAAACAATTTTGAAGAAAAATAATCTTTGGTCCAGCATTTTTAGTGATCAGAAACAAACTGGTTTATAACATTAAGTATTTAATGATGGAGTGTTACGTATTTTTAGTGAGAAAAAAGGCTGGAGCATGCTTGATACATGTTGCATGTTTGTATCCTTGTAAAATGCTTAGAACAAACAAAAATCCAAATTTCTCAGTTTGGATTTTCAGAACACTTTCCTGTATATATTTTCTGAACTACAGGGGATCCTTTCTCTCCTCGTGTGAATCCCACTAGGATAGCAAAATTGGACAAAAGCAAAACTCATCTCTAAAGCAGCAGGAAATCAGTATTTCAAATACATTCAGATAGCAGAGCTTTGTTTTGTATTATTTCAGACACAGAGCTCTATATTTTAGCACAAAATCACTGTGTCCTTGTTCTTTAGCCTAAAACAGAGACTAAGAGTATTTTAAAATGATATGGAAGATTAAGTGAAGCCAGACCTCAATGCTGAGAATTTTGTGATTTGTTTGTATCCTTTGTCTTTTTACCAGCCTGAACTTTGTGATTTGTATCAGATTTCTAAATGTTATGAAGGTACCACATGACTTTTGCTGTGTTTTTAGCACTGCTTTGGTTTTAGATTGAAATCAAAAATAAATTTGGAAGTCTCACAGTACTCTCCATCTTGAATTAGACATCCACTAGGCTCATTTGTTTGTTACAAAAAACAGAATTGTAATAATCAAGTGCCTCTAGGCCCAGGTTGAATTAACATTTGAACACCTATAAGACTGTTTGTGGCCTGTGCAAATAACTCAGTTATAGTAATTACCACTGCAATTAATTTCTAATGATGGGAAACTTAAAGTGCTACAGATAGCAAACTCCACATTTAATTTAATCAAGATGTGTAATGAGATTAGCTGTCACAACTGAGCTGGGCTCCAATTCCAAATGATTTAAGTGTTTTCCCTTTCAGTTGTTCCAAGGTAAATTACCAAAGAGATGGAGATGGTTATGTCACATGCTCAAACAATTTTATATTCAGTAAATACTCATTAAACAATGTTAACATCCTTTCTCTGTGGCACAGAAGGCTGTGCTGTAGCCAGGCTGTGTTAAATCACACACTGACAGGAGCTGGGTTGTTACACTGAGCAGCTCAAACTCCTGAGTAATTCTTAGCCTGTATCCTTTAATGAGGTTGGAGACCACTGCAGTTTAACATAATACAATAATAAAACATTTTAATCAGTATTAAAACTTTAATTAGGTCTGTAATGATGCATGGTTCTTGCTGCAAGCCTGGGTCAGTGAATCCCTCAGTGAGTGCTTTCAGTAACTGAAAACAAGCACACAAAAGGTAAAAGATGTCTGGGCTGTATGGCATGTTCTAGAATGCAACTGGATCTTTCTGGAAAGGTGCAGTGACTTTCCTTTGGTGGAGGGGAGGCATTCCCAGGCCCAGTGATAGCCTGTTTTCTTCAGAATTTACTTGTAGGTAACAGCTGAGACTAAGAAATCCTGACTGAAACAGTAATTATTTTTAAACAAACTTATTTCAACAATGCAGTTTCTAATCTTGCCAAAGGAGAAACTTAACATTTTCATAGAAACTACCAAGTGCAATCTGGTTTGTTTGGGGTTTTTTTTGCACAGAAAGATGCATTATGAGAGCTTATCAGGAAGGTTTAACACTAAGGGTTATTCCAGGGCCTGCAGTGCAGCATTCAGACACCAACCTGCTTCAAAGTGTAAATCCAGGTGCCGAGGGCCAAAAGCAGTTCCCAGCTCACCAACCTGCTTCAAAGTGTAAATCCAGGGGCCGAGGGAGCAGCTCCTCCCTGCCCCTGTTGGAGAGGAGCCTGGGAGGGGCTGGGGGACAGGGGCTGCACCTCCACTCCTGAGG